TGAAGCCCCTGTTCAAAAAAAAGCAAAACAATCAGACAAGAGTACCCCCGCCCAAAAAATTATATCACTAAATGAACCATGCCCTACGTACATAAATCAGATGTCTTTTCCTTGAAATGGATCCAAACAAAAATGCAACTCAAACTAGTATTGCCCTTTCTGAAGCGGCATTATTACCACAAAGCATGGCCCTACATAAATCTAATTATTTGGGTCACTTCCTGGAAATGCATCCCAATACAAAACAATTGAACAGTAGAATTGCCAGACTTTCTGGAACCTAACCATAGCTAAAAAGCAGCTCAAATGTAGTATTGCCCTGTTTAAAGTAGTATTGCCAAACGTCCCGGAATTTCGTCGCAATGCAAAACCCATTTCACAAGTAGAATGGCCAGACTTGCTGAAACCTGACTGTAGTACAAAACAATTCAACAGTAACAGTAACAACAGTAACAGTAGTATTGCAGACTTTCTGGGCTCCAACTCTACAACATGTTAGTTGAATACTAAACAGTTGATAACAATCGTTTCACTTTATTTATGGGGAGTTGAGAAGAGGCTGGCCCGCTTCATGAGTCAGAGGTGGACATTATTGCACAAAAAAATAATATGCCGCTACGATTCTTCCGATGTTATATTCGTTGTGTTGGTGTTTTTTTTTCTTCTGTGGTTCTTGTCTTGTTCTGGTCTTCAACGCTTTGATTCGTTCTTGCTTCGTATCTTTGGCTCTTCAATGTGTCATTGTTCGGTTATTCACCGAGTCTGTTCTTTACCTGTTCGATGATTCATTTATTCAACTCTTCGGCTGGCCGATTCTTTGATGTTCTCTGTTTGCGATGTTCAGTCTGTTGTCTTTTGGCGTTTATCATTCATTGACTTCTTATGTGATTCTTCCAGTATTCGTTTCCGACAATTCTTTAGCTGCCCGAGGCGAGGCTGAGCGATGTGGCTTTGCGATTCGTGCTCAGGGAGCGCAAAATTGGAGAACCTTGCGCACTGGCGCCCGATATGGCAAATCAAATCAAGGTGTTTGCAAAAAAAAACTTGCTCGGCAGCGCACAAAGGGATCCTGAGCCTTGTTATTGCAAGTCATACTTCCCAGCCGCATTTGCGAGAACATGGCAGGAGGAGCATGCAGAACATGCCAATGGCATCCGAGAGAAGATGTACGACAGAGTTTGCGGAGCGGCAGACAACGTCTTCGAGATCCTCCGCCTTTCGGCTCCAAGGGCACTGCTCCAAGTGGGGCATAAGGCCAGGCCAACCTGTGGCTGGCGATGCTTTGGCTGTGGGTCACAAATAGGTAGCCAAAATGGGACCCTGGCTAGGTCCCCCAGCTAGGTGCCCTTTCTCACCCTTTTGTGGGGGAGGGTTCCCCTACTAAAATAGACAAACCAGAAAAAAAGCTGGTGCCCTTATTCTATCCTCCCCACTGGAGGACCTAGCTAAATGTAGCTGGACTTGTTGTGATTTGTGCCATAGCGGATGCCACCTTGTCAGACTCAGAGTAGGACTCGAACAATCAGCGCACACCTCCAGCGGTGTCCATTTTGGATTTCCTCACGTTTGACTCTCCCACGCAAGTGAGAGTGAACAAGGTGATTCCAAACAAACCCCCCCGGTTCCAATTGGCTTTGCTGCACCTTACGAAATTCTCTGGGCCTGGTGTTTTTCGGTTGGGTTCACACCTGGGGCCGGAAAGGGCCTGGTGTTTGTCAATCCACGCAAGTTTCTCTGTGCGAGCTCTCGGCGCATGTTTCTTTGTGCAAGCGCGTTGTGCATGCTTTTCTGCGAAGCTATCTCCCTTCAAGTTGCTCTGTGCAAGCTAATCCACAAGTCGTCCTCGATGCAAGCAACTTGATACCAGCATCTTTTCACACATCGACCATGCCGATCCCCGCACAGGGTCGCCCGCGCACCTCAAAAGGTAGCAAGAACCTCAAATTGCTGAACATCGACCACTCCTATCCACAGAGGGCAGCACCTCAACAAATGGCCAAAACGCAAGTTGTTCACCTTCAATCACGCCGATCACGCTGAGGGACACGCGCGCAAACCGCGAAGAGCAGCAAACGTCATCAGTTTTTGCACATCGCCCACTCCAACCTCCGCATGGGGTTGCGCGCGCAAGTCAAGAAGTACTAAAAGTCACAGGTTTTGCATATTGACCACGCCAATCTCCGCAGAAGGTGTCACTTTCGTAGAGTGAGTTTGGTCCCACTTCGCCGTCTTGAAAGGTCAAGTTGAATTTCGAATCCACGTTTCTTGCTCAAGATGTCTCGTGCAAGCTGGCTATTTGCTGCGCGCGTTCTCCCGTGCAATTTGCTGCGCGCGCATGCAGCTTGCCAGGCGTGGTCTTTCGTCCAGTTTTGCTGCGAGCGTTCTCTCGGGCAATTTGCTGCACAATCTCCTTCGTGCAATCTGCTGTGCGAGGTCTCTCGTGCAACCTCCTTTGCACGTTCTCTCGTTATTTTTGCTCTGAGCGGCCTCTCGCGCTCGCGTGCATGTTGCTCTGCGTGTGTGCCCGGCACGTGCTCTTGATGCGGAGGTGCTCTCGTGCATTTTGCTTTGCATCTCCTCTCATGCATTTTGCCGCGCAATAAGGCTAACGATCTTGCTGGAAGAACCCTTCGCAATGCTTGCGGGGGGAAAAATGGAAACAAAACGGCCCTTGAGACAGCCTTTGTTTGCGGCTCTGGGCAAGAGTTGTATCAGAATTCACTGGCTTTCGCATGAATAGCTGTTCGGGGAATGCTTTGATGTCCACTTTCTGAGCGGCAGAAGGCGGGCGCTGTACCAGTCTGAAGAGTTTAAATGGCGTTGTGAGGTGTTGGAAACACAGGATGCCTCATGATCATGGGAGAATCACGTTTATAATTAGTTGGTTAGCTAGTCCTATGATAGAGGGCCTCCCTGTTCTGTTAAGAAGTCCCTTTGGGATATATACCGACATTCTCAACCACACAGGTTTGTATTCGGCGCCTCATATATTGAGTTTGCTGCGGCCTGTTTTGCTAAGGTAGGCTGCGTCGAACAGAGGACTGGTGGGACAGGCACGAGGCAGGTCGTCGAGTCCGGCAAATGAGTCAAATCTGGGGAACCTTCTGACGCATTGAAAAGCAAAGCAATGACCGAGCCACGTTTGGGTAGGAAGCTGCTTCTGTGTCATTTTGTGTTTTGTTCCAAGGATCAAGTTTCTACCCTTGTGACGCGGTCTTTGGAGCACCCTTAATGAAACAGCCCGCGATACATGTCCAGGTTAGGCAGTCCACCAGCAGGGAAGCCCCTTCTTGGACGGCTAGGCTGCAAATTGATTGCCTGCAAGGGTTTCAGTGGCATTGCGGGACTTGAGGATATATACATATTCTATCAGAAAATAGGATTGAATGATCGTGCCTTGGAACTTTCGAAAACAGATTTCCCTTGAACAGGGTTGCTCCGAACCTCAAAAAATGACCAACTGTCAATTGAACAGCATTGTTGTTCCATTGCAAGCTGTCGCAATCTTGCTGCTTCGCCCCGACAGCCCATGTGGACGACTAGGACCTAGTGACCCAAATAAGCATGGCTGTCCGAAAGCAACACTTGTGTGCGAGAGTGTGTGTGTGTGTGTTTGTCGAGAAAGGGACTTCGACTTCAAATTAGACTTCGGTGTTGTTCCTTTTGGTTTCCTTTGAAACTAGCCTCAAACATCACACACCCATTTATCATTCAGCAGGGTATTTAATGCAAGGTGATGAATCAGCTGGTCAAGGCAGATGCAAGAAAACAAGACTACCCTCCCAACATGTCCCCTTTTGAAGCTTGAGCTGTTCTGGGACAAATACTAGATTCGCTTCATCTGGGTTTTGTTCTTATTGCACACTTTCCTGTTGTCTTTGGCTGTTTTCCGGACAGCTTGCCCAGCACAAAGTGGGCAGGTTGTTCACATTCAGGTGAATGACCTGTGTCCATCCTGCAGGTTCCATGTATGAGCTGTAGGTCTCCTTTTATGTCAGGTTGGCCCTGAGTTTTCAGCAGTGACTTCCTCATTGTGACCCGGGCAGGCCGGTTGCGAACCATCCACGGTTGCTCACAGGGTCGGATGGGCCGAGTGATGCGGAGAGTCACCGAGGATAGCAACCTCTCCGCGAAAAAACGCGCCCAAAACAGCCATATCGTTTTGAATTTTGTCGCAAAAACAAGTTGTGTACCCCCCCCACCGACCACCCAAGTGCACAGACCCCTGTAAGAAGGACGACTTTCCTCTTCGAAAGGGGCCTTGTACACTCGAGTTCGTGGTGGGAGGGAAACGGCAAGCTGTCAACGCAATTGGCCGGCAGGTTGTCGAGGAGGTAGTGCAAGAGAAGTACAGCGACCTCCGGCCCGTTCTAGTCTTCGTGAACACGCGCAGCGGGGGTCAACAGGGCTCCAAGATCCTCCACGAGATGCAGGTGACGATTTGGCCTGGGTCTCTTAAAGTGATTACCATTTGGAAAGGTTCTCCAAATTGCAAAGTTACCAACAGTCCCTTTGAAGCACAAGTCAGAGGGTAACTTTGAGGATGTTACTTTCATGGACCGCCGGATCGATTCCTGGAGCTGGCTGGTAGCTGGGGTTCCCCGTAGCATTCCTTTGGTGGGGATTTGGTTACCTTCCTGCAGATGTACCTGGATGGCTTCGGCTTGATCAATGACACTGAAACAAAGGCGTGTCTCCAACTGTGCCAAAACCCAGCATCTAAAAATCATTGGCTCCAGCAGATGCGAGCAATGTCCACCCCATAGTAATCAACCAGTGGACACCCCACAAGTAATAAACTGGGGTTGATTAATATGGGGTCAACATCACCACAGGCACGTTTGTAGCAGGTGTGGAAGCGATCGGGAGGTTTTACTTAAATGATTGTCTAAAAGAAGCGGGAGCCATACAGAGGGTGTAGTATTCCGGTTACATACTAGCACTATTTGGGTTGGAGACAAACGGGAAAATGCCAGCAATGCCCGTCTTCAAGCATATAGTACCCAGAGAAACAGTAGGCGTGATGAGTTTCAGTGTTGCAAGGGTTGTCGTTATCATCATTAGGAAGGCACTGCCCACACAGCAGAAGTGATCCCTGAGCATTTAGTGTTGTGTATTTCAGGTCTCGTTTTCAAGGGCGGGGCTTTGAGGCTCAAATGTGAATCTGTTGCATGTTGTTCCAGCGCTTTGAGCGAATGAAGCGGGAGCCTAAGAATGTCACCAGCACGTCCATTGGCCTAAGAATACTTGTTATTTTCCCCTGTTGGGTGTAAATGGAATCTATCTCTACTGGTTTTTGTTTGGCGGACTTTTGCAAATGGAAGAGCATCGAAGCTCACTGCAGGGATCGGGAAGCTTTCAGGCGCTGGCAGGACGTGTGTTTTCCCCAATTTCGTGGTTTGGGGCGTTGGCCTGAACGGACAAAAACGGTTCACAGCTGTTCTCACCTTTGTGGGCCCACAAGATGTGCGCTCCTTCCCGAAAACGGAAGTCCCAAGCGCAAACTCGGCGCTTGTCCTTCCCGAAAACAGAAGTCCCAGAAAGGGGCAAACTCATCCATCCATCAGCGCGCCAGGAGTACTTGCACGCCGCTCAGGTGGTGGAGCTTCAAAGGGAAGGCGCGGATTTGCGATAGAACGGCCCCAAATCGAAAGGCTGGTCTGAAAAAAACGGGAAGTGGGACTTTCAGATTGGGCCGAAATGGTTTATTTAGTTGGTTGTTGACTTTTCTATATAACTCATATTGAGTTGAATGTCGAGAGGCTGCTTGCTGTCTTTCCAAGGTCTCCATTAATTCGATGGGTCAGCACGCAACAGTTTGCAGCACATTGAATGGACGATCCGCCCACTACCACTGTTGAGTATTGCTTAGTGTTCTCAGCAAATGCGTGAGCACCCTAAGTGCCCCCATCTCAAGTGGGTTGTTTCTTTTGCCAGGCAAATGGAACGGAAGCGCAGTCAAATGGAGGCAACTCGCACTGTGGGGTTGGCTTGCCTGGGAGCATGTGGAGTTCACGGCAGCCTGACGTTTGACAAACGTGGACAAAGAAAGCACATGGAGAAGCGTGACATCTCGAACGCAAGGGGAAAACCTATCGCATCCACCTTTCCACATTTCCCGGTCGCCTGGCTATGCTTGGAGACTAAAAACTGGTTGGCTATGGGGGCCGTTCGAGGCCCCGACGCGGCGCTTCAGTGGTGGGACAAGACCAAGTTGCCCTACCGCATCCTTGGCAGATCTTTCGGAAGTGTTTGGTACATGAAGTGGCTGGGTTCTGGATGTACAGCCCACCTTCAGAAGCGATATCTTGCTCATGGAAGCTTCCATGAAGGCTTTCTCCACGCAACTTTGTTTAGCACTGTGGCCAAGGCATCCTTGTTTGCGGCGGCGACGGCACTGCGGGCTGGGTCCTAGGCCGGACGGATCGCTCCCGGCTCGTTTCCGGAGTAGACCGGTTGGGGTGTTGGTTGGACACATGGGACCTAACGGCCCTGCCTGAGTTTTCTCTCCTTCAAAACGGGCGGAGCTTTTCAAGGTGAGTGGAGGTTTCCTGCGCTTGGTGGATGGAAGATCATGTGCTAGCCTCTCCAGTTTGGCAAGGGCAGCAAGATGGCGACCGCACTAGGCACCAAGACACGTGACATGATCTATCCGCGAGAGTGTGCTCCTTTCCTTATGTGAGCTTTGTGTTTCAAGAAAGACAGAATCTCGTTGAATCTGCCTCAATCTGGTCGAATGTTGCTTCCCTTCAACCGAAAGAGCCAAAGGCCTCTTGGGGTGTTGTATGGGTTCAAACGAAACCTCCAAATGAGCGAGTGACATTTTTTTTCGGGGAGGACATGGTTCACGGAAAGACTTGGAAGAACACGTGGGCACAGGCACCAAATGTCCTATACAAACCAATGGGCTCCAAATTTCCCGTCTCCCCTACTTGCGGATTTGGTACGAGTCGGTCTTCGTGTAATGAGGTGCTCTCGAGCAGCTGAAAGCAGAGGACAAGCTCTCGCAGACACAGCCCTTGGGCATACTACCCATCGGTGCCTTTGGCTACGCCATGTGTCTCACAGAAATTGACTAGGTCCCCCAGTCGTGCCCTTTTACCCTTTTTTCGGGGAGGGTTCCCCTCCTAAAATAGACTACAGAAAAAAGTTGGTACCAACTTATTCTAACCTCCCTACTGGAGGACCTAGTTGACCTCCCTGCTTTGGGGGCTTGAAACGAGCTCGCTGGTTTTGTTGAGTGTGTTTCGCGACATTCTGGAAGGGCGAGGTTCAGGAACGCGAAATTCGCCGCAAGATATATTTCAGCTTCAAATGGGGCAGCTTCCATTGCTCGAAATCAGGAAGAACAATGAAGTTGGAGATGCTGGTGGCAGGCATCTTTGGGATATCGACCTCCACGACTCATAGGGAACCCTCATTTCAGGTTGAAGCATGAATTCTATATCTCAAAATGAGGAACCCCCCAGCTTTGCCCGTCCCTTCCAACAATCTTGAAAACCCTTCCCTTCCCTTCTTTGGACGGTTTGCGGCGAGAACCAGACACCACAGCAAGGCACTGGCAACGACCTGGCCAGGGTCTTGAACTGGGGCGGTGGCTACACCAACAGCAGCGTGCTGCCCGCTCTGCAGCAGCTCAGCGACATATTTTTGGAACCAATTCTCGTTTTTCGTTCTACCCATGCGATGGGACCTCCCGGGCGATGAAGGCGTCCTAACAGCAAGCTGACTGTTTTCCTTTCCAAGTCTGGCAAGGCCCTGACGTCAGCTTGAAATCAGTTTCCTTTTGCTGCCAAAACTCACCCTTTGGGCCATGAAACTGAAGAATTTGATCGGTCAGTATGGGGTTTTACATCCGTTGCATCCGCAGTGTGGCTGTTCAAGCGTGAAAATGTGCGAGCAGCGCACTTGGACGGTTTGTTGTTTCCTTTTGGGCCCCAAACCGGTAACCCTTGAATCTATAGGTTATCAGCCGTAGGCCCCTAGCTCTAAGCAATGGACGGTTCCCTTGTACCAGTTGATGGATCCAACATGCCTGTGGATGCTGTCGGAGCTAGCTCCGACAACGCCACCGGCGGCGGTGCGCGAATGTTCGCGCCAAGCGCTAATGCGCAGTATAACCGCACCCTGATGAATTCCCTTCAACTATACAATGCCGCAATCTTTGCTTTCGGGAACGATGCAGCTATTAGGTCTGAAGCCGAAGCCCTGCATCAAGCAGCTGTTACGCATTTGCAAGCGGAAAACCGTGAGGAGCTCCGTGTCGCACAGAACCAGCTGCATGCACACTACGCTGAGTGTGTGCAAGCCCAGTCGCATAGAATTCGTGAATACGAACAGCGAGTGAGCGATGAGTTCATCCAAGAAGTGAACTTCGCTGAAGCTAGGATAAGCCAAGTGTGTGAGGAAAACGCCCAAGCATCGCATGAAGTGGAATTGAGACGCAAAGCAACTGAGTTTAGGCAAGCCATCGAATCCACCCTGGCGGATGCCCAGCAGCTCCTTCAGGAGCAAGCCGCTAAGCACGCTGATGACACAGCTCGTGTCGAAGCGAAGAACGCCAGGACGATTGACATGATGGCCCACCAAAACGGGCTTCTGCAGGACGAGCTTGATGAGCTAAAGAAGTATCAGAAGCATCACGACCTCCGCCGAAACCCAAAGGGGTCGGCGATACCCCAGATGCTCGCGATCCGCAAGGATCAGCTGAAAAGCCATCAGGTAGCAGCCGAGCCCCGGTCAAAACAAGTGCACCGGTTCCGCCCCTGCAATTCTCCCAGGGGCCAATGCCAACCGACCGTAAGCAGGGCGGCAAGCCCCCTGGCGGTCCGCCACCTGATGATGATGGCGATGGCGAAGGCGATGAAGACGATGATGACGGCCTTGGGCCCAACCTCGGTCAAGAAGCTTTCGCCAAAATGTTGATGAAATTGGTGAAAGGCCACACGAACGACGAAAAGCCCAGAACTCGCGAAAGCGAGACGTTGCGATTCAAGGAGATGCCAACTCCTGAAACGTACCGTGAATGGAAGACATCGGTTCGTGAGGATGTCCGCGCTGCATCCGACCGACCAGACGAGGCCTGGCCTTGGATCATGGAAGTTTGGTCTGATCGCGAGGACAAGAAGAAGCTGTTGGAAGAGCTCGGTGAACCGGAAAATTCGTGACTCTAGACACGAAGATTCTCGCAGCGCTCACGCGCTCAGCGAAAGGTGATCTGGCTCAGCGAATTCTAACAGCAAAGGAAGAATGCGCCAAGGAGGGAAAGGCAATGAGAGGAAGGCAGGTCTTGTTTATGTTTGACCAATATTTCAAGACCAGTGAAGAAGCCGGAAACCTCTACTCCTTGGAGGACCTGTTGCGTGTCTCGCGACACGGCGAAGGAATCATTGATCTCAAGCGGTTCCTAAACGCTTGGGACTCCGTGATCGCCGGCATGAAAAGGCCGCCAGAAGAAAAGGTGTTGAAAGACATCCTGCTTCGCCAAGTGAGGAGCTGCCATCTGTTGCGGTACGACATTGACACATATGATCGTTGCCGTGATGATGATCCCAATAAATCGTACGATTTCTTGATGCGTTGCATGAGGGATCTAATCGAGAGGGACAGGCTTCGCGAGAACCGAGAGCGCGTGTCCAAGGTCAATGCAAGTAAAGCCCCGACGCCTAAGGCTGGTGCCGCTGCTTGGAAGGACCCTAAGAAAAAGAGCGCACCTAAGCCGAAGGACACCGAGGAAAAGTACTGCTTTGATTTCCAGAAGGGCTCGTGCACGAGGGGGGCAAAATTGCCCTTTCGCGCACCGCAAGGAGCCGCGAGGACGCTCTGCGACCCGTGGCAGACCGAATTCCCCCAAAGGCAATAAGGGAGAGAAAGCACCATGCTCTTTCTTTGCCCAAAGGAAGTGCACTAGAGGTGACAAATGCAAGTTTAGCCATGCCTCCACGGGCGGCAAATCAGCCGCTGCGGCATCGAGCAACGAGGCCAATGCCAATCCTGCGGCTAAGAAGCGTGCAAACTCACCTAAGCCTAAGCCCAAGGCCAAAGCCGCTGCAGTCTGCACTAGGTACGCCATGTTCGCAAAGCCGATCAATCCGAGAGGAGTGTCATTTGACACCAATGCTCATGTGCACGAGATCCCCGCCGAAGGCGATGGTTTCAAGCTCGAGTATGAGGAACGGCAGTACAATAGGATGTTTCCAAGTGCAAAGGACTGCCCCAGGCCGACCAAAGGAACGAACAAGGCAGCACGCAAGGCCGCGAACCAGTTGAATGTCGTAATCAAAGCCATTGAGAATGGAGCCCAGCCCGCTTGTGGTTTCATGTGTGATGTGGAATCTGATTCCATCTCAAGCCTACCGTGCGATGAGTGCCTGAGAATTGCCATGCCGCCTCACGATGTCCGCAAGGATGTCGAAGTGCCAAGGGCAGCCACCCCTGCCCCAAAGGGAAAGGATGTGTGGCTTATTGATTCCGGTAGTGAGCAGGACCTCATCAGCAATGAGGAACGCGTCCAAGGCAATCCGAAAACAGGCTCCTCAGCCTATTCGCCTTGTGACTGCAAACGGAAACATCACTGCTTCCGAAATCGCCGACATGAATGTCGATGCATTGTGTGAGCCAGCTCAGCCTTACATCCTTGAGAGCTCTCCCGCAGTGCTGTCGTTGGGTGTGAAGTGCCTGGATCAAGGATACTCCTTCCATTGGGAGTCCGGGAAGGCGCCAACAATGGTTCGCCCCGATGGTGCTCTGATCCAGCTCAAGGTTGACGGTCATGTGCCATACATGGATTCTAGCTGCGAAGCTGAGCCATCGTTGAGTGCAGTAGCAGCATCCAAGCCAGCGCCTGCACCGGTTCATGACGAAGGCATCGACGAAGGTGATGATCCCGACGATGAAGTTGAGCGGTTTGTGAGATCCCGCAAAGAGCAAGACCTGGTTGCTGAAGCAGGTACCAAAGAGCACTTGTTCGCACACTATCCGAAGAATCCCTTTTGCCGCACTTGCCAACGTGCCAAGATGCTGGCCCCATATGCAAGATCGAAAGGTGGGCAGGGAAGGCTCGAGACGAAAGCGTTTGGAGACCACATCATTGCTGATCATGTGATTCTCAAGGCCAACATCGAGCAAGGTATTAATGGTGAATGGTGTGCTCTCGTGATCAAGGACGTGCATACGCAGTTCAGGTATGTGTACCCTTCGACCAGCAAAAGCACGGAGCAGTCCGTAGCAGGGATCCAGCATTTCATTTCCGGAAGGGATGAGGTTGAGGTTCTCTACACCGACAACTCCCGGGAATTGAAAGCCGCGATAGAGCAGTTGGACCCCAAGGTACCGTCATCAGACCTCCATTGAATATGTCGATTCATCCAAATCGTTTGTTGAAAGGGAAATCAGACATCTATTGGAGGGGGCACGTGCGAATCTCGTTCAGTCAGGGTTCCCACTGTCGATGTGGCCATCAAGAGAAGCAATAGGACCCCCCGTGATCAGAAGATGTCCTCCGAATCTTTCTGGGGTGGTGCTTTGGGGCCTCCGGTTTTCATTCCTTATGCTTTCCAGATGCCCTTTTTGTTGGGCCGGGAAATATTGGAATCCACACATGTTCTCGGCTCGCTGGTTTTCTCCGCTGACTTCCACAAGCCAAAGACGCCCAAAGACCTTTCACCAGGCAGATGAGAAGCGCCAAGACCAAGCTGCTGGATCGCTGGAGGGTACTTTGGCGGCATGGCGCGGGCTGAACGCCAGACGTGGCGAACGTCTCATTGAGCTTGGCCAGTTGCTTGGGTCAGATAGATTTATGTCGGCGTTTTGGCGGTGGCACCAAGATCAGATTTGCAGGCGCAGTACTTTAGTCTGGTTGGCGCGGAGCAGTCGGCTCGGAGCAGCCGGTCTGTTTCCGTTCTCAGGCAAGCTGAGCATGCGGATCTCATTCTTTTCGTTCGCTGCAACCATCAGTTGTACCAGTACCAAACTCACAACTAGAGAACTGGTTGGTCCAAGGCCCTCTTTCTAAATGCGGCGACCCTGCCTGAGGTGTCCAAGGAAACCTGCATCGAAGTGGCCAGCACTGAAGCATGTTGATGAGTTCATCGAAGTTGGCAGTGCCCATGCACGCTGATGATTTTGTCAGAGTTTGCGCGTTGACGTGTTCATCGAAGCTGGCAACGCTGCTGATTTCAGTAAATGATAGTTGGCAGTGTTGATGCACGCGGATGCATGCGCCTTGACGATTCCGTCACAGTTGGCAGTTGATGCACGTTGATGATTTCTTCAAAGCTGGCAGCCACGTTGATGGTTTCATCCAAGTCTGCAAGTGTTCATATCTCTTGATGAGTTTATCAAAGTTGGCAGCGTCGATTTTCGCTCATGACTTCATCCAAGTTGGCAGCGTATAAGCACGTTGATGACCCCTGATACGTGTTCAATGGTAGGAATAAGACAATCCATGAGAGTGAGTTTTGACCTTCTCAGCGTTGAAAACAAGCCAAAAGGAATACCACCATGTTAGGCTTCCCCATCCCCTCCCCAGAAATGCCCACATACATGCCCACATGAAATGGCTTGAAGTGTTGCTGTGCGATGATGTTACAGACTGTGACATCCTCATTCGTACTGATTGTCTTCCCTGTTCACCTTGTCAAGTGTGCCAGTCGTCAATTTGATGAAACTCGCAGTGGTACTTGGTTGACCTCCAGTTGGCATTGCTATTTGCATCCGACTTGAGTCTCGAGATCGTTATCTCGTACAAGCCACATTGCTCAGGTGTTGTGCCGCCGCCAAGCAGCAACCAGAAGCTGGACGTGTTTTGCATGCATGTACGTGCATGCTGGCCTACCAATCTCTTTTCAATAATGATAGAAGCGGACAGGGTGCTTCCCCAAAATAGAAGCAGGTTTCCAGAACCTTCTGTCAGGCTTCCATGACTGTGGAAAGGATGCTAATCATCATGAAGCACCAAAAAGGGGCTTAAAGCATCGCCCTGCCAACTCCCATGCTAGGCTCACCCTCATGGAGTAAGGTAGCGAAGCTTGCTTTTCACATCCTTGAGCCCAAACTCATAAGTGGCCTGCTTCAGGCCAAAGGTTGCCGTAAGGCGTTTCTCCTTTTGTAGCTTGTGCACCTTTATGTGGAGGTGTCTAGTTTTAGGGAACCCCTTGTTGGTTGGTTTTGAGGGGAAATCCAGAGGAACACCACCATTCTTGGGGTAACACCCATGTTGGTTTTGTGAGTCATGTATGAGACATGTATAAGCTCTACAAAAGCTCTTGAGTTCTCACAAGAGGTTCTTCTTCGGCTCGTTTGTGTAGCGCAATCAACGTGTTGGCCCGGAGAGAAGCTCAACCTAGCCTAGCAGAACGCACCACGAACATGATTCTGGGAAAGCAGTTGCCCGCGCAACCGTGTGGGAATGCCAAAGCATTGTGAAAGGTTCCCCGCAACTTCCGAGAAAAGACGCTTCAAGCTTCAGACAGTGCTCATATCAGTTGGACAAATCTGGCCATATGCCCACGTTTGGCCGGGGCGGGATTGGGCGGGCTTGCATGCGCAGCAAAAGTCGATGACTCCTTGGTTCCTTGGATGCCCCAGGCGACAAGAAGAAAGAGGACATGGAAGAGCCGGCCGGCGACAAAGACGAGCTTGGCCAAGGCGGGCGTGGCTCATTTTTTGGGGCTCCATGTGGTTGGTCTCCCGTTTGGTATTCCATGAAAACCATCCAAAAGGGTGTGTGTGTGTGTGGCCTATTACCAGATCTACTTAGTCAGGCCTTAGCAAGACATCAAGGCTTGTGTGTCAAACCAATGGGATCCCATTTGGGATAGGTGCACCACTCATTTTAGAACCTGTTTTAGTGGTTGGATTGAATCGGATGTTCACTGGGGGGTAACCGGGATTTTGACCCATGGCCATATTAATCAACCCCAGTATATTATTAGAGGGGTGTCCCCTCCGAAAGTGATGATTTCCCACTAATCCCAGGGACACCCCCCAGCAAGAAACTGGGGTTGACAGGCGAGGACAAGGAGGAGAAAGAGGAGCGCGACAAAGAAGAGCCGGGCGACAAGGTGAAGTGGGTCTCGCGGCCCCATTTTCTTCCGGTGCAGCCAGACCGGAAGATCATGGCCATGAGCAACTACCTTGGCATAGGCGAGGAAGGTGTGTTCTGATCGTGTGTTTTGTCCCTCCACGGTTCTTGGATCAAGTTGCTCGGTGTTTTGTTTTTGTTGGTTCTGTTGATTCACTTTTAGTGGGGGGCTGCAAAAAACGCAGTTTTTTGCTACCATGCCAAGGGTTGTGAAGGTGGGTGCAATGAAGGCTCGGCACACTTTTCAGCTTGGATAGGGAATCCAAAGGGAGAAGGGACGCCATTTTCGGAGTCCCTCTTTGACACACACCCTGGTGGAGCTTGCTTTGATGGGCTTCGATTGGAAACGATGGCCTTGCCACGCAAAGGCCAGTTTCAACTTGTGACATGCACCTGTCTTGCTGAACTGGTCGCAAAGCGCTTGGTGTCCTCTTGTTCCCTTTGACCACCAAAAGGGGTCGACGATCGACGCACCATTTCCAGAAACCCGCATATATCAAACTCGCGCGAGCCAACCGGCACATCCGGATGGCCTTTGGCCAGCGACTTGAATGCTATTGGGCTGGACCTTTAACCTTTTGCTTTTTGTTAAATGGTGGTTTTGGGCAAGGGTAATTAGCCATGAAGAGTAGTGTTTATTGGTTTATGCAATTGAAGTTGATGCTAGAGTTCAGGTAAGATGCTTCCACAAAAAGGCACGCTCTCATTGGTTTCGCCACAAAAAGATGGTAAACCGATTAGAGCGGTGTCTGTGGTAAACCAAACATATGGCAAACCACCAGCATGTTGGGTTTCTGCTGGCCGCATGGCCCGGCCATCCACCGCTTTTCGACTCGACTCGCTGGGATCGACTCGGATCGACTCGGATCGACTCGGATCGACTTGCGAGGCGTGGATGCCGCTGTTGCCATGGACTTTCACCAGATGCGCGAGCGACGGCCCGGGCTGCCCCTTGGCATGGAGCAAAGACGTGTAGTCACAGTAAATGAATGAGTAGATTGACATATGTATATACATATATAATATATATGTATATATATACATTCATTAAATCACTGTAACTCATAGGGCTTAATGATGTGAGGTCTCCAAAAGCAACTGCATGTTGGACGTTTCCCTCTTAAGCGTTGTGGAGCCCTGCTTCGGCCCGGGCAGAAGCAAAGGAGCGTGTCGGAAAAGAACACCACCACCCCTAAGCCCAGGCAGATGTGTATATATATATATACATGTATATGTATATATACACATATGTATATGTCTATATCCATGCTACCCCCCCCCCCCCCAAAAAAAAAAAAAAAACAAGGAAACGAAGAAGAAGAAGAACAAACTACCACAATTGTATTTGTCAGTGCTTTGAGATTCAAGATTCCCCGAAAATCGCCCTTCAGAATATTGAACTTTGAGAAGCGTGACTTTCAATCCACGTTGAGGTAAAATATATATTTAAGATTCCCCAGACATCTTATCCAGCATCTTCAATCTTGGGTCTCATCCGTTTGTACTAAGTGAGTGTCAGCGCTTCAACCTGCCTGTAAGCAAGTACTTTTCATCGCGCATTCCGAAATACATGGGGAGAACAACTACTGGAATTGCAAGTTGAAGTTGATTCAAGTTCAATAGGTTCAAGTAAGCATGAACTGAGTCCTTCCAATAAATAGAAAGTATTGGAAGCAACATAGATTTGCTGCGTGGCAAAAAATACATGACAAAAATGGTCAAACTGCACAGTGTCATTATTCCCCTCAAAAACTTGCAGTCAAGGTGCCATAGCCTCCTTTTGAGCGAACAAGAAACCTTGGTGGCTATTTGGTAGCGGATCTTTGCGATTTTTCAGAGGGGACCCACGAGTTAAACACTGTTTGCAGAGGGGTCAACAGAAACCCAAAAAGTATCCATGGAAATTTGGTTTTCAGGGAAAATCAGCGATCCGCCATGTGGTTGCCATGAGCAAACTTTTGCAAACAGCGCTAGGCTGGATACGGATGGCCGTGTAAGCCCGGGCAAAAGTCGTGGAGCCTACGGACCTACGGGCAAAGCGATCTCTCCTGTTCCAAAAGTTGGGTATGAGTCAAAATAGAACCAGCAGGGGACCGCATGTTTTGTCTTTGGTTCCATTTACCAGGGTTCAATTGGGTACGCATTTTTGACCCACAGCCAGTTTGTGGTTGGGACTCCCAACCGCTTTTCATGCATGTGGATTGTTAATTTGACACCCGCAGTGAGCTCGTGTCAGGTTCGTGTCGCAGCTTGTGAACAAGCTGTGGTACTTCAGGAGAGCTGCTGTCATGCCTGGCTGTGTGTGTTATGACTGGGTGTGTGTTCTTGTCGCGGCTTTCCAGTGTTGTCGCCTGCCAAGTGTGACAGAGCCCTCGTTAGTTTGCGATTGCCTGATATGGTGCGGTCTCCTTCTTCTATGGCCAATTGCGTTGCCCGTTTCTTGGCTGTCCACAGCCGTACAATAGGGAGCATCAGAGTAAAACGTGAGGCTATGGCTCTCCATTTGCGACCGCCGAGTAGGGGTTCTTGCACGTCAGCTCAAAAAAAAACACGGAATACCTCACTTGCCCAAAGCCGACCTTTTGACCTTTTGGATGTTCCTAAAGGTGAACCTTTTATTTCTGGGTCCTATGGGCAAGTGAGATGAGCTTACCTCACTTGATTCAATAAGCAACTCATACACGTCTCTTGATGTGAAGCTCAGTCAAGTCACCATCATGGCAGCGCCAAATTTTGGCCACTGTCAGATAGTCATTTGGCTGGTGGTTGGTCAGTTTACTGCAGCATGATGTGACAAATGGATCATGAGAGGTGATGGGCTGCTTCCCATGACAGTCTGCGTCAATCCCTGCCATATTTGCCCAGTGCAGGAGTGGGTATCGGAATTGGATGACCAAGCACTGCGCAAACATTGGCGAGAAGATGGAGCTCTTTTGCGTCACCCGGATGCAGACAAAGAGAGGAGCGCCAACAGCTCAAATGCTACGTAAGGGTGTGTGTGTGTGTGCGCGTGTGTTTCTTGTTCTTGCTTTGTTTTGTTGTTTTCCACATGTTGGGACACATGCCTTTGTTGTTTTCCACATTTTTCTTTTTTGTTTTTTCTTGTTTCCACATTTTGGGACATAGCTAACATGAGCGGGCAAATAATCCCAATTGCGCGTTTGACTCCACTGGTTAGGATCAACAGGCAGCAGTTTCGGGCTCAGTCGCTCTCAAGTGTCACCACCGAAAAGCTGCCTATGGGTGAACAGCGTTGTATAAGATTGCAGGTTTCATGATGAGTTTGTCAGGGATACGTTGACTCCATGGTTTTGAGGCAGAGATCAACCACGCCTCGCTGCATATTCACTGAGTCCCGCTTAAGCTTTCAAGAATATGTTGATGAAAGCAGCATCATAGACTATGAGTGTAGTGCAAGTGTGTTAGAAGAGACTGATGTGAAGATGTGTCATGGCCACTCAAAATGAGATGTATGCGTCGGGCCAACTGTTTGAAGCATTGCCTAGGATGGTCATCCTGTCCCAGCCTCGGGATGCTGACGGCCGACGAGTGAAAATGCCAGATTGTTTTTTTTTGTTGTTTTTTTCCTCGGACGTGTGTTCGAAAGCGGTCATTTACCTTTCGGCTTTTTCTTCTAGGAAACGGTTTTGGTGCGGCCTTTGGTTTGTGGATCTGCCTGGATGTTAAAAGAGCGCTACAAATGGGGGGGGGGGGGGAAGGCGGTGTCCGCAAGAGGCGCATCAAGATCGTTGTTAGAAGTTGTTGAGGCTTTAGTTTGGTGGCTTGGTTGGGTACCTTCCAACAAGAACCGGTTGAAATCTCCAAAGATCCACGCCACTCGGAAGGTGACTCGTTGTGCAAGCTAACTCATCTACGTCTGGACAAGTTTGGCCAAGTTGGATCGCCCATGCATCAAAGATATGGTTTGACAAGGGAACGAGGGAATGAACCTGGGGGTCCCCTTAAAGGAAACCACAAGGGCTGGTTTAGAAGGGGCATTCTCTCATTCCCTGCTGAGCACCAGCAAGATAATAAACGGTGAAGTCAATAAATGACACTACTATGTATGTTATTGTGAATTCTAATGGCATGCCCTCTACCAAACAAGCCAATGCCGAGTCTTATGACTTCGCCCCCCCCCCGCACAAGAAGTACTTGGCCGCCGCGCGTTGGCAAGATGGGTATGGGTCAAAATTTTCGGCCACCAGGAATTGGACCGCAGGTTCTAGTCTTTGTTTCCACCTACCAGGGCAACCCATTTTGGGTACATAGGTGTCCTTTTTGGTTGGCTTGCTCGAAAAATCGGTGGCGATCCCTGGTTTACACTGGTGGTTTTTCCTCATCTACCCGGGAAACCCATCTATTTCCCACCAGAAAAGGACACCTATGTTTGGGGGTACCCGATTTTTGACCCACCCCCGATTGATCCCCGAGGTGGACATCCCCAGCTCCTTGGAAGGCATCATCATCTTGAACATCCCCAGCTTCGGAGGAGGCGCGGGCCGTGAGGCGTTGAAGTCGAGGGCATGGCCTTCAGACCACGTGGGTCTTCCGGAAAGACATGGGTGTGCCTTATAAAGGGACCCCCCCAGAAAAAAGAAAAAAGGAGAAAACAACAAAAGGATTGTGGTTTTCCTGGTGGCTTCCCTTGAAAGCCGCCCGAAAAAGGGTACCCCCCAAAAGACGTGCCACATGTCGTCGTTTTCTATGCGCATGGCGTCTTTGCAGGTACCGATCTATGGGGTCGTGCTGAAGACGATGATGGTGAACTGGAAGCCTGGCCACGAAAAATCAAGCGTCGTCTGCTAATAGTTTGGGGAGGGCATGTGGGGCCCACTCAAAACAAATCCGCAAAAAAAACAGCCTCGCGCAATAGTGTCTGGTTTCCTCTTGGGGAAACAAGTCATTTTGACAGATAGATGGAGAACATGCATAGATTTGGTCCCTCACAAGCAGAAAGGGATCCCAATAAAGGTCTTATTTGAACATCATATGGGGTTGCCTCAAAATAGGGGAAACCAACAACATGGTTCGTTGTTTTGTTGGTTTCCCCTTAACGCAAACCAAGCATGGCACTCTCGAAAACCAACACACCCAGCTTTGTATTATATTATGTTCATGTGTTTCCCCCCCCTTTTTTGTGTATTTATATATATGGTGTTTATTGTGTGTTTTTTCTTATTGTTGTTTGTTTATGTACGTTTTATTCATTGTTTATGTTTTTTGTTTATTGTTTTTTCTTTATCTTTTATACATTTTTTTGTTTTTCTTCGGGGGCGGGTCTATGTCAAGTTGCAGGGCGAGTGACTCTTTGGACGCCATGCTTTGCTTTGCCGAGGACAGCGACTCTGACAGCACAGCTCCGTCAGAAAGTTCAGCCTATCAGATGCAGTCAGATTCGATTCGGAAGGTGTCGCTTTGGGTTAAGATTTGTTCCTTTCGGTTTTGAAGGGAATCTATCACTACTGAAAGTATGCTTATTATCTCCCGGGGTCTTAAACCAAAGGGAAGTCACTTGGACGCAAAACGAAAAGTTTACTTTGCCCGGCCAAAGTCAGATCAGCCGTGTGGGTCCTCCAAACGGAAAAACGATCGGGGTATGCACAAATGCATGTCATATATGAATGCGGGTGTTCCAATAGATATAGGAGACCCTTCAAAACACTGCGGTGCCGATTGGCTCTTTTGCAGACGTGTCCATACGTTTTACATACATAAATAAATAAATACATACATACACACATACATACACACACACACACACACACACACACACACACACACACACACACACACACACACACACACACACACACACACACACACACACACACACGTACGTACGTACGCACGTACGTACGTACGTTCATACATACATACATACATACATGCATACATACATATATACATGCATTGCATTGCATTGCATTGCATTGCATTGCATTACATTACATTACATTACATTACATTACATTACATTCATGCATGCATGCATACATGCATACATTTACACACATACATACCTACCTACCTACCTACCTACCTACCTACCTACCTACCTACCTACCTACCTAACATACATACATACATACATACATACATACATACATACATACATACATACATACATACATGTACATAATTAGACATATACATATATATATATATACATACACACGCATACATACATAATTGGAGTCGAACATACTCATCAAGTTTGAAAGACATATGCTTGCGCCCATGCAAGACGGGCCATTCCTCGCAAACACATGAATCTGCAAGAGTGTACTTCTCCAAAACAAAACATTTGGATCCATTTGGATCCATTTGGACACATGTGGATGCATAAGAAATATTTCGGGGTGGAGGAAAGAAACCCTATGAAGGGCTTTTGGGGCTTCTAAGTTGATTCGCAAGATTGGTTCCTTTAAAATCCACTCAAAATTTGGTGGCTCCCAGCCATCCGGTTCCTTAGCCTTTTAGCTTTTTAGTGTTTAGTGGGGTTTTCCATTTGGCCCACTAAAAGTGAGTCACTTTTAGCGGGGGATCTGAGGACAGCCCAGACAACAGGGCGCCCAGTTGGACACCTGAGCCACAATCAAAACCCGAGTAGATCAAGGTTAGTAAGGGACGATCCCAGCCATAAATAGTTGCGAGTATCCGCCTTCGTATTTCCTTACATGGTTCTCAACCATTGTAATTCCGGGTTTTGATTGTGACCCACCTGAAATCCCTGGATTCGCGAGGCAGTGGCTCAGACCATGGTGAAAGGCCGGCAGTCCATGCAGGACAAGCTGCTGGAGGCGTCGGGGCGTTCGAAGGGATCGGTCGTGGGGGTGGGGTCGATCTCCAAAACGGCTCCATGTTTGTTTTTGTTTTCTTCCGGGCAAATATGAAAGAGGGTCACACCATCGCTTTTTTCGGAGTCCGTTGTGCCAAGTTCGGGATTCCGAAGGGACGGCCATTTGAAGTTCCTTCTATGATTCAGATATTTGGAGCTGGTGTCCATGGCCAAGGACTTGAAGGGCCCAACTGTTGGGTCTTTTTGTTCCCTTTGGTGGGTTGGTTTACAGAGAAACCCGCTGAAAAAGCGAAGTATCCATGGGGTGTTTCCCCATGATATGGATGCATGGGATCTCACGGCTCGGGCTGACTGGAGCACCCGCCCCTTGTTAAGGTCTGGATTCCTGGACCTCAAGGGCTGTTCGTTCCATTCGCGTCAGGATTTCAACATGTGAGTATTTAATGTCAGAATAGGCTTCGGACCCGCGTGGAGTTCGGTGTTCCTGCTGGGGAGCTGTTAAACCAACCTGAAGTGTTTTCCCAATTCAAAAAAGAAGGTGGCTTCACCGTATACGGTCCGGCGCATGTTGCACTTGTATATCTTGAGGTTCGACAATCCGTTCAGTTGCGTGTGGCCGGTGTTGCATGTGTTCTGGTGGAACGTGCTTTGAAATAACATCTGCTTCTGGGCCGCTGCTCTCTCTACCGCTATTTTCACTCGACGCCATTGGTCTGTCCCCAATTGGCGTAGGGCTGGATGACGGCAAACCAAAACACCAGCCAAGCGAGGCAACAGGACGAGACCTAGGGCAAGACGAAAATCGTCGCGCACAAACACTCGGGCAAAAGGACTGGCCATCGGGCACGGGGCAGTGTGCATGAACAAATCCACTATCACCCACGCCACCCCCCCCCCCCCGACCCCCCAACCCCCCCTCATCCCATTGCGCGGGTAGAGTGGTGAAACGCATGCAAATCCGCCGCGGTAGCAAGTGGATGTGCATTGTTCCGACCCGCAGGTCGTGGGAGTCGATGGCGCATTGCAGCTGGGCGCTAGCCAGGTGCGGAACATGCGACACACCTGGCAGATTTTGACTGGGCTAAAAACGGGGGGAACCTGCCAGGGGCCGACTAAAATGGTTCATTCCCCTTGAAGTTACATCTGAAGTGCGGCTCATTGACTTCCCCAATCTTTCGTACTGTGTTCTCGCTGGCTATGCTTGACTAAGAAGGGAACTCTGCATCTTGGTCGCAGACAGACACCAGCTGCGAAAGGGAGGGGCGCCTTTGCCTGGACAAAGATGATCCATTTCTGGTTTGGGATTCAAGGTTGCGTGACTAGGACCCACCCCAAGAAGGAGCTCGAAAAGTAAGCCCCAGCGCCAAAAAGAGCTGGGACGGCTGAATGAGAACAACCTGCGCATGGGGTTGGAGTCGAGAAGCCCAGTGGTGCGTGGCTACATGAACCCTGGCCATGTAACGAAGAAGTTGCCGTGGTTGAAGCACTGTGGAGACCTGGGGAAGCCCGCCGAAGTCCACCAAAGAACAAACGGGGCTGCAGGGCATGTCTCTGGGCAAAGTCTCACTTCCTGAGTTCATGAACTTTAAACTGTTTGGGGTTGGACCATTTTAGTGGTAAATATAAAGTTTGGACTTTTTTTGGGCCATCCACTCAGCCAGTGAGAAGTGCGACGAGCTCACCCAGGGGGTGTGATCGAAGGTCCTTCACGCGAAGGCAGACTTGCCTCGCCCGTTTGATGGCAGCGATGTTGCAACCACAGTGCAGCTGGCGGATTGCAGGGCAGTTACAAGCGTCCTCCCACGCGGGACCTCATTGGGGATTTTTGGTGCAGGCTTAAGGCGACCTTTCCTTTGGTGCATGTTGCTTGGATGTTAGGGCTTTAACCTTTTGCCAACTCATGGGTTTTCCATTAAACCACTAAAAGTTAACCTTTTAGCAGGAGAGCAGAAAGCAACGGAGTTTCGTGGGGTTCCGTGGCCACGGGGGGGGGGGGGGATTTTCCGGCAGGTTGGCCTCTACACGGCCACGCAGCTGGCACAGGCATCTTCGGTGAAGATCATCAACAAGGCGAGGTGCCCAGGAATGGGCTTCAGAACCAACCGGGTTGATCTTAGGTTCCTTTAAGCCTTTGGGGGCATGAAACATGGCAACACGAATCTCGATTTGGATGTGTTTTTGCTCAGGCCCCCTCCCCCCACCCCGCCAAATGACGGTGTTCCGTTTGGTTTCCCTTTGATTAGCACGGCGAGTGACCTTAAGCAGTGGCCAAAAACAACGAGCAAACATTGTAAGACAACAAGCCAAGCAGCTCATGAAAGTGTCTCGTTTGCTTCTGTACAGAATTTCCTGAAATGAGCACAGGGTCCCTGCGCGTGTTCTTCAACCAGAAGGATTCTGAAAGCTCACTCCCTGTAGGATCTCTTGGCAAGATCTGTGCGCAGGATGTCCGAGAGAATCCTCTAGTAGTGCTCTCTTCAGGATCTGTAATTAGAGAGCATCCTCTACTCGACATGAAGTCTCTGCAGGTCCTGCGCAAGACCTGTTCAGAGGATCTCCATCAAGAAATCTTTCGGCGGGTCTTTACAGGGTCTTTGCACAAGATCTCTGACAAAGACATTGCTTGATTAAGTTCTGAAAAATCAGAGCTTGTTTAACCTGAAGGTTGCTGAATCAAGCTTTGCAACAATCACTGTTTGTCTGAATTCGGCTCTTTGGAAGCTCCGGGTACAGCGAGAGCGCACCTTTGGAAGACGCCAAATTCACCGTCACGTGTTGCTCGAGCCTGCGCAGTCGAAATGCACATGAGAGTCTCTCAAGGGAACATTGATCTGGGCCTGCGAAGATGAAACGCGGAGCGCCCAGTTTAGAGCGAGCACCCTGGCCTACACTTGCCGTAAGAACCCGATTTGGTGTAGACACAGTGTTTGGGAAAGCAAACAATCAAAACGGGGTTCGCTGAAAGACTGATGCAAGGTACCGACAAATAAAGCCCCCCCTCCCCAAAACACGCGGAAGGGACCCAATGATGGCTCCGCTAAACCCAAAGGATCTCTAACCAAGTGCTTGATAGTATTAGTTGTCACTGTTCGTGGGTTGTTCCCAGGCGTTTTGGCGCGCTTTCATCCAAGTAGGGTCACCAGGAGTACGATGATGCTCATGGTATCGTTTCTTCGACCCCGTTTGATTAGCATTGGCTCAGCGTGGCTTGGCTAGCATTGGCTCAGTATGGCGCAGCGCTGTGCTTTGAGTACTCAACAATTCTGATAGAACACTCTCGGTTATTTGGCTCCCTTTTATTCTTCGGTGACCCGCATTGCGGTGGCACTCTGCGCTGTGCTGTGGCTGGTGCTGGTGGTCGGGGATAAGTTGAGTCAGAAATTCACGCCCAAGTGCTTGTAGTTTGTGCAGAATCTCTTTGAAGGGTGCCTGTGGAGGGGCTTGTATTGGTGCTTCGCTGCGGGCTCTCACTATTTTAGTGGTGGCATCGCTTTTTGCAAGGGAGGTTCTCTTCTTTTTTGGGCCTCAAATTCAAGCAACCCTTAGTTGGTGTATTGGATTGGTGGCTTGAAGGTAGGGTCCCCAAACTCAAGGCCTGTGAAGGTTGAAAGGTTTGAAGCTCTGGTTCTTGTAGAGTGTCAATGGGGAAACCATCCCAGCAAACCTCCAAACCACCAAACCACCGCACGCATCAATCTCCGGATCTGCAGGTGACACTGCCCATGGAGGTGGACGGCGAGCCCAGCTGGTTGACAAAGGCGAGAGGTGGGTTTGTTTTTGTTGGTGGTTGTTGTTTTTGTTTTTTGAAAACCCCTTTTGGATGAGAGGTCGTTGTTGTTGTTTTTAGCTGCTTTTTTGATTTGTTTTGTTTGAAAAACCCTTTGGGATGGTTTGCGGTTTTAACGAAGCCAACCATTGGGGATCCCCTGTTTTGAGACCTTTTCACCTAGATTGGCTCAACACTCATCATCCACCCTTCTGTCAGCTTCCATGATTGAAGATTGTTGGAAGGAGGATAACATGGTTTGGAAGGGAACCCCTTCTATTTCCATCGAAAAGGAGTTGATAGCTCCGCCATTTGAAATGGGCACCCCCGTTTGATTCTGAATTTTCAGTGGTTGGACCACACTCCTGCAGATCAATGCGGTTGAAGAGTCTCTTTTGGGGTCCCCGAGAAGCATGGAATGAACATGGCGAAAGATCTGAATGGCTGCAAAGTACACCAAAGGGTCCAACCAATTGAAGTTCACAGCCCATGGATGACTCAACCAAAGGAGAGACAAATGAACATGCGTGTGCTTTTAGTTTCCTTTCTTGGACATTCACCAAAGCGTTGATCGCCAAAGTTTTGCGGTGTCATGCAAACATAGAGAGCCCGTGGGGCCCAAGGAAAATGCAAGTTTCCAGAATGCAACGCACCATTTGGCTGACCCCTCCAAGTTGATTACACATGTCCTAGATTTACTGGCCAAAGTCCACAACACACCTTGTGCCGCATTCGATTTAGTCCATTGGCCGTTTGTTTGCGGAGGACGGCGTGATCGAGATCACGCACAAGAGCCAGGCCACACTGATTGGTCTGGTTTTTGCGGGTTGCGTAGGAGAGCACTTAGGGCACGCGCTGGTTGCCCACTTGCTTTCGCTAGCCATCAATCTGTTATCGTCAATCTGCTTGCTTTTTTGCCCGATTTGTTTTTGCCTCTTCAAAGGAACCCAGTCAAAATGTTGCAGCTTCCTGGTCTTCAAGATTCAGTTTGTTCAGTGCTTCCAACTACCTCGTTATCCGGTTGCTCCAACTCTTATGAGACTTCAGCTAGTGTTGCACGGCCTGCACATGGAGGTGCGGTTGCGTGCAGATCTGAGCGTGTCGTGCACTGCAAGCCTCAGCAAATCGGTATGTGTTGTATCTTAGTTGCCTGAAATTAGATCGGCCGGCAAAAACTAGCGCACACACAGCAGCCCACCCTATCGCGTTGTGCAATTTGTTGGACATGTTTGGACCCTTTTCTGGCTGGTGCTCAGTAGGGAACGAGGAAATGACCCCAGGGGTCCCCTTAAAGGAAACCACCAGTTGGACAGTGTATGGGTCATTCCCTCCTTCCCTGCCTATCACACCACCAAGTCTTGGCCCCTCTGAGACACACAAATCTCGGCGCGAGGCCTACGTCCTGGCCCGCTGCAAGAAGCGAAGTTCCCACGCGGTGGCCACCAATGTGATCGACTGGGCAGCGCAAAAGAACATCATCACCGCAGAGCAGAGGCGAACTCGGCTCTCGGCTCTCAGCTCTCGGCTCGGCAGGTGGCTTTCCTTGCCGCTGAAGCGAGTGCTAAAGAGCAAAAAGGTTTTGGTTTTGCCATATGACTGGTTTTTTGCTGGCTTGACACCAAGCTCAAAACGAGGACCTCAAGAAAAGACAGAGAGATACCAAAACCCGCAAAGCAATGGGCCAGGAACCTCATCCAGCATGAGATCGCCCATAGGGCCGGTGACCTCGACCCAGCCAGTGCCTTGCAACAGCTGATGTCACGTGCGTTCCTCCCGAAAAGATGGGTACGGGTCAAAATTAAACCACCAGGGGACCGCAGGTTTTTGTTCATGTCTCCATTTATCAGGGTTCCATGTGGGGTACCTATTTCTGACCCACAGCCACTTGAGGTTCTGTTGGTCGAAGGGTGGGGTTGCCCATCTGACTTGCTAGGCAATAAGTTGCCTCGACCGGCCTAACGTTGACCCATGCATCCAAGGAAAGACTGGCTCCTGGGCTCGATTGCACACTGGCGATGACTGTGAGAAAAAGGTCTTGCCGGCTGCATCATTGCTTGCCATTGTCAAGTAAGAGCCTTGAATCATCGGATGGTCGCAATTGCACAGACGTTGAGGTTGCCTGCAAGTCAAGGTGCGCAGCATTCTGGCCAGTGTTTGGCGCGAAAACACACAAGAGCTTTGGAGCGCATTGTTGAAGCGACCCATCGCTTCCGAGGACACGGTATCAATCGAGGAAGCCATCTCCACCATGTCCGCCAGGAGCATAGTTTGGGAGGATCAGCCCCTCCAATCCCTCAGGTGAACATGTATCCGTGCCAAGCCAAAGAAAAGACATGACGAGGCCCAAGGGCGCACTTCTAGCAAGCCGGCCGTCATGTGAAGTGTGGCCCGACTTGGCCGTTGGCAAGCTGAAGAACCCCAATTTCTTCAACTTTGGCATTCTTGGACTCCCCTTGTTCCAGGGATTCTGTGTGTGTTTTCCTTAGGAGGGAGCCAGAAGTGGCAAAAAACCGTGGCCACGTTTCCTGAGGCGCGCTACCGCTCTGGTCGTGACCTAAAGTCGGGGCTGGAGGCTGGGCTATTTGGCTCAACCCCGTGCGCCCCTCCCGGGGGTTTTCGGAGCCTATGACTTGTGAGTCAGCCTTTGGCGACTTTTGGGAGTCAGCCACTCTTCCTTCCACTTGCTCAAGAAGAGGTTTTGTCTTTTTCTTTTTCCCCCTGTTGGTCTGAAAGTGAATCGAATTCACGACTGGATTTATGTTTTTGTGTTTTTTCTCACTACTGGATGTGTTTTGTTTTTTTCCATCGGGGGCTAAACGCCAATGGACGCTTTTGGAGATTCGAGGATTTCAGGAACACGACCCAGGGTTCCGCTGCGAGACAGAACCCCAGTCATGGAGCTTCGGCGCCCAGCCATTGTGTTCTTTTGGTGTCTTCGGGCTTCGGCCTGTTTGGTTTTGTGTTGCTTTGTTGTTTTGGTTAGTTGATTATGATTACTAGTATCATATGTTGATTTAACAGCGCATCTGAATTTGTTTGTTTTGTTTGTGTTAGTTGATTTGTCATTATTACTACTATTGTCGTTATGTTGTTTTTGTTTTGATTTAACAAAAATGCAAGAAATACAAACATATGAGACCTCACGTGACTTTCAAAACAGACTTGACGAGTTGCTTCAAGCCGTTGAGGCGACCACCGCGGATTGATTGATTGATTGATTGATTGATTGATTGATTGATTGTCTCAGAAAACAAGTGACACATAAGCAGATGGATGTTGTTTGGGGGGTGTCTCGCCCCTATAGCCAGTATTCGGGCATGATTTACACAACATATGTACATATATATATATAATAATAATAATCATAACATGGACATGTGTAATTATACATATGTACACCTCCCCCCCTCCCAACAGCTATCTTGCTCCGCATGTTGGCCTGACTCAACCATGTCCAGAACAGATGAAGATAAAATAACAAAACACCAAACGCAAGCTAGTCCTACCCCTACCATGACTGACGTGTTTCTATGTTCTTTAGTGGTATTGTTTGTTTCCTTTTTGTTTTGCTTGGTGGACATGTTGCGCACGGTTTCTCAATTGTTGAGCAACTTTTGGCACATATTGCAATGGACCAACAGAACACATTCCAGCCAGGGTGCGGGTAGGTGCAGCGGTTCTGTGGGAATGTTGGGCATCATGTGCCAAGTGTTGCGCAACAATTGGCAGATATTACAATGAACCAAACCAAGTAAAAATATCAAAAACGAAAAACCAACCGCCATGGTGGGTAGGATTGGTTTGGTTGTTTGCTTCTTGGTGTGTTGCTGTTTTAGTTGGTCCACCGGTTCTGTGGGAGTGGGCAGCTGAGAGCCTCGGACAGAAGTTGCGCAGCATGGATCTCGGGTTTTGGATCCAGCCGGATCCCAAAAAACGTGGCAGTGTTTTCTCCAGAAGCTCGGTTTTGTTTTTTCACATGGAGGGTAAGGCTCGCCTCAGGTTTTGGGGGAATACCATCCACTGCGCAGTTTGACCTGTGTTTGAGGGGGGCACGACGATCTAACTGCTGAAAATAACATCCCGCATGTTACTGGGTGTTTTGCAAGCACCAGACCCATGTCCTGAGTGGCTTGGCCCCAGTGCCTGAGTTACATGGAAGTCGGCAAGGGCAGCGTGAGCCTGTTTTTTGTGGCTTAGTGGTTGAAGTCCCACCACTTAACTGCTAAAACTTAAAAAATGCTCCCCTTTTTAAGACTTAGTGGTTGAAGTCCCACCATGAAATTGAAAGCGAGTTGAATTAAACTACCCTCCCTCCCACTAACATGGCACCTCACAGGGGCTCCCTTCAAGAGGAAATTCATCTTTCAGGTACCATCCTGTACCTCCACGCAGATCCATGTTTGTGAAAGCAAGGGTACGAATTGTGAATATTGGTTTGCTCCATGTTTTCACGCGGAATGCAAAGGGAACTGCAGCCGGTTAAATGTACAATTAGCTTGCACTTGAAACAGCATCTTAAGTTGCTCTTCTTATAGTTGATGTTCACATGTAAGTAGATGTTATTGAAAAAGGCGTCTTCTAGTAGACGTGATTGGCAAATGTAAGATGGAATTGGAAACACAATGCATAACTTCGATTGGCGCTGCGTTCCAAATGTTATGTTCCCGGGGTTGTATGAGCATGCACATGCACCTGGAATCATAAATCAAGCCATATTAGTAGGTACATGGAACTGCGCAAGGACATGGAGATAATTGGTTTTGATGTACATTGCAGAAAGCAATTAAATAGGAGTTACGCCCTTTCCCAAAATTCAATAAGTGATAAGAGTTAAAACACAAAAAAAGCTGTTCCGTGCACGTTGAAGCTGCTCCAAAGCCTTCTTCTTTATGTATGTAGGGTTTCTTTTGTTGCATTATTTCTCCATTAATTTGTTTATTGTCTTGCGTGTTATTGTTAGTATCTTATATTGTCTTCTTTCCTTGTCTCACTATCTATCTGTTTGTCTGTCTGTGCGTCTATCTATCCATCCATCCATCCATCCATCCATCCATCTACTCGTATTTGTCTATCTAATCCATCTTCACCATCTAATCTGTCCTGCCGAATCTAAACAATTTTCGCAGCTTCGTGTTTTGGAGGAGTTAGAAGTTAGGCGTGTCGGAGGCTTTGGGCTGCGTGCGATGTAGCAGCAAGCACTGCAGCACATTGATAGCAAACGCAGGATCGCACGAACATGATAGCAACATATAATAATGTGTGGCAGGTGTGATAAACAAATACATAAATAAATAGATAAATAACTAAGCAAACAAGTAAATACGACTATGTATATATATATATACACATATACATATATATGTATATATATACATAAACCTACCTGTTTCCTCGTGTCTGTGTGTTTACGTATGCCTGATGATTCTTTGCTTTGGCCGTTGGAGCGCGAAGTCGCTCGGGGCCAAAGCTGGCTTTGCAGCCAAGCTAAGCCAAGCGCCAGGGCTTGACACGGCGATCACAAAGAAGATGGATCGAGGCAGGGCGCGACATGAGTTTGCTTCCCTGCGGTGTCCCTTTTAAGCAACCTAAAAAAGGCATCCTCAAACATCCAATGGCCAGGCTTCTCAACAGCGCCTTCAAAGGGCGCGGTTTGACCCACATTGGCTGCTTCAAGCACTTTCGATTGCTTGAAGCAAATCTGATCTCATATGGGTCCACTTGCAGCAAACTGGCACGGGTTGCTGGATGTATTTTAAGCAAGCAGTTAAAGCCCAGTCAATGCGTGTAGCACACTGAAACTTGCGCATGCAGATTCATGGACAAGAGTCGGCTTCCCTGCCAGGCCGAAGGGGACTACTGCGATGATGTCACGGTCATTTTCCTTGCACCGGCCACGTTCCCAGGTAGAAGGAACTGCTTGGACCACAAGGCGGTGCTGATTTGACTATGACACGAAAGGGTCCCTCAGAAAACAAAAGTGCACATTTGAGGCTGTATATGCTCAATCTCGGGGTTTGCCGTGGAAAAGCCGCGGGGTTTGCCCTTTTTTGGAGCCCCTTCCTTGCCTTTTTCAAGAAAACATATCTGGTCCTTGTGACAATTTTGACCAAACAAAGCAACAAAAGACAGAGAGAAAGAGAGCCAAAATTCGAACGCCTTCAAAAGATTCAGGCATCACCTCACACAAGTGCGCCTCGTAGTCTCAAGTCAGGCTCCCTAAATAGTGCAAGGGACTTTTGAGGTGGCTTTAGCTGGGACTAAGATAGGTGAGCGGACTAAAGTACTAGTAGGATTCGCGCGAAGCTCTGTACTTCGCGCTGGCTTCTCAAAGTGGTCCCCTAAAATAGGAGTCCCTTTTTGTATTTTATTTTAGCCTTGCAAAAGGGGGTTGGCCATTGCGAGAAACACCCAAACTTGGACTCCGAGGCCAAGTCATGAGGATTGCGAAGGCGGGTGCCGCAGCATGTCCATGTAAACAGAGGCATGCTCGCAGCTGATAGGGCAAAATGGTTTTCGTTTTTGGGTAAAAGATGCACTTCTCGAATGCAACCTGATTCAGATTGGTCGCTTTCTGTTTTTGGATGATTAGCGTTGTCAGAGCGCAGGTTAAACGCAGGTGGAATGAGCTTATGCTCACGCATGTTTCTACATCAAAGCTGCTTCCCACCGTTCCCCAGGAAACTCAATGAATTTCAATTTCGTAATCCAAAATACAAGTATAATCTGCATGAACATAACTTTTATCACATGAGGCTCGGTCAACATTGCCAGCAATCTGGGGTCTAGACAGAGAATTCATTAGCCAACTCGCCAATTGCTCTACATCCTTCAGGGGAAATAAACAATTTTGACCGTGGCTCATATATACATGCGAAAATGTTTTTGCAACTGTGTAGTTGTTGTTGCATGTGTTTCCGAGTTTCAATGTAAATTGAATAATATGAATGCTAATTGTTGAATTGATTTTTGATATATATGTATTTATATTACAATCATTTTGAAATGGATTTTCGAATTAGAATTCTGAAAGAAAATTCGATTTGGTTTTATGTTTTGTTTTGGGGTAATAATTGCGGTTTAATTTTTGATTTTGTTGTTTGATGTGTTCAAAAATATAATTATGTGTATAATATTGATTCTAAATTTATGTGTTTTATGTATTTTGGAATTATTATATTAATATATGTTGTTATGGTTTTTCGATCATATTTTAATGAAATATTGATTTATTTTGTTTATATATAGATATATTGTGAATTATAAATGTATTTCGAACATGGTTGGTGTTTTTTATATATGTAGAATTTAATATATTATTGAATTAAAAATTATATTATGTTATATATATATATATTTAATATAATATAAATAATATGAGAAATATATATAATGAATAATATTTGAAATACATATATATACAATGATTATAATTTGATGATTAAAATATGATTAAGTTGTTTTGTTGAATGATTAGTAAATTATAATAATTATATATGTTTTATTTGGAATTAAATTGATATTGCTATTGATGAATATTATAAATATATTTAAAGAATATAATATTAATTAAATTTAAAAAAAAATGGAGTTCGAGATTTTATGAACGCTAAATAGAAGGAATAGAAATAATTGTTTAAATTAAAATAGATAAATTAATTAAATTATATAAAATAAGGAAAAAAAAATAAGGGGGGGGGGAAAATCGGATAAATTTATTAATATTTTTACATATAATTAATTAATAAGAATTGGATTGATATATATTATTGCAGAAAAAACACATATAAATTATGATTTCTTTTGTCGGAAAATAAAGGACAATTAAAATGGATTAATGAATTTATTTTATATTTTTTAATTATTAATAAAGGTTTTTTTAAAAGGAAATTGTATAAGGACATTTTATTAGACCTTTATAAAGGAATTTTTATAAAATATAGAATTTATGAAATCCTTATTTCCATGATTTGGAGAGTTTTACATTTTCTAGATTTGATTCTTTTTAAAGGTTTTTTTTATGAAGGTCTTATAACATTTCTTTTTGCATGAGCCTTTATTAATTTAATATTTATTTAATTGAATATTTATAAATAAATTATGATGTTGGTATTTTTTTAATTAATTAATAATATATATATTATTAACAAAAATATATATTTTAGATAATATATTAATATGAAATATTATATTAATATTATAATTATTCTATACAAATATATATATATCGATTTTATATTATATATTTTTTAAATGCATTAGAATAGGTAAAATATAATTTAGAAATTTATTTTGGGAATGTTAATTAAATTTATAATTTATTTAGAATAATTATATGTTTTAGATTTAAATCGAATAGAAAATATATAATATATTTAATTCACTATTTGATAGGTTTATCTGATGATTATACAAAAAGATTAAAACGAAACATATATCATTAATTATAGAATGATTAACTATATTCACCGAATAAATATATACATATATATTATTATATATAAGATTATAAATAATTTATTAATACATACATATGAATTCTATTTATATTATTAATAGATTATAATAATATTAATTATATATATTAATAGGATTTCGAAAAAAACAATACAAAAAAATCGAATTCCATTATTAAAAATATTATATAATTATATTTTACATAATTTATAAACAAAAATAATTATTTTTCGACCTCTCCCAATCTTTATCCTATATATCATACATAATGTGAATCTCTCATTCTACAATTCTATCATTCATTAATTTAATATATCATCTATAAAAATATTGCAATATGTTATTTCTTAGTATATTTCATTTTTTCTAATTTAATCCATATATATATATTTTCAAATTTATCAATATATAGAAATATATATTTTTCGAATATAATTATATTATATCAAAATTAATCCCAATAAATAGATTCATATTAAATCAGAATAATGCTAATATATATATATATATTCAATAAATTCATCTATATAAATTTAAAAGGCAGTTCCATATTACGAATACTAATTAAAGGTAAAATCAGATATAAAATAAATATATATATCTGAGAAAAATATATATATCTAATGGGAAAATAAAAAATGTCAAAACAATTTCTCCGACTAGTATCAAGTTATCCCGATCGCGATGTCTATCCGACGACGGGTTCGGAACGGGTTTAAACGGGTTCGAAACGTTCGCGGAGCGGGGTCCACTATCATAGCAATATGGGGATTTCGTAGGCTTTTAATTTCGTGGCAAATACAACAAAATCGAATTCAAATTTCATGGCCAAAACAATCTTTTCACAAGATCAAATACAAATTTCGTAACAAACACAACATTTTTTTACTACTAATATACATATATTATAAATCCTATTAATCTAAATATATACATTAACAAATATAAATTTCATAACAAAAATAATATTTTCATAATCATATATATATTTCATAACAAAATAATATGTTCGTAAAATCAAACATAAATATTATAATAACAAAATATATATTTCATAATAAAAATACCTTTTTTTTTTGCAAAATCAAATATAAATTTCAAAACACATATAATAATTTCTTAAAATATAGAATTATAATCAAAATAATAATTATATGTATCTAATTATAATAAATACATAATAAAATAAATAATTATATTAAATAAACAAAATACCCAATATATAAATAAATTAAATAATAAATATAAAATATAAAAACCATAAAAAATAAAATAAATAAATTCATAAAATAAAAATATAATAATAAATATATATATAAAATAATATCAATAAATAATACATCAATAAATAAATAAATAACATATAAATAAATAAACAAATAAATACATATATAAATACATACATAAATACATAAATAAATACATAAATAAGAAAATAATTAAAAAAACAAATAACTAATTAATTATCCAATAAAAAAATAATAACTAAATAAATAAATATATAAACAAATCAATAAAAACATATATATAACAAAAAACAATAAAACAACAAAAAAAAACACCACATCAAATATGGTTTTAAAATTTCCGCCTCGCAATTTCGTCGATTATATTAATATCATTATTTAATTCTAATTTGTAATATTTTAAAATTCATAAATATCTATCAAATTCAAATAAAGACTGTATATATATATATATTTATACAATGTCAATTAGGATATTGTGATTCAGGTGAAAGGGTGAGTATATATCAAGCATCTATTGAGGGATCCGCACAATATGTCGAAGTAGAAGTGTGATCTGTAAGCATCCTTTGGGGAATCCCTTGTTTGGGTGTATATCAGGATGTGCAAGGCATAACCCAGCCAGAGGCTTTTGCAGCGCAAAGTGTAAGTAATACGGGGTATGTGATCTGGGTGGTGTAATAGGGCATGTTAATGAGCGGCTCTCATACATACCCCTCCAAACAAACCCACTGACAAAATTATTGATATATCCTGCTTCACATGTTTTATTTTCGACGCCGACTTGCATTTGACGCAGCCTTCTTAGAGGGCTGAATCGCCGACACCCGTAACGTCTGGGTAGCTCTGGCCGTCTGGCCGTTTCCGTAGGTTGAATGACTGAAGCGGTGAGGTCTCTCTTCATCCCTGGTCCACTTGCTTGTCAAGCAAACATTGATCAAAAGGTACGCCGCTTCCAAACACTCCTTTCCTTGGCGCTGTCATTTTGGGCCTTTCGTCTGATGAAAAGGCTCACATGAGTCGGGTTGGAACTGTTCCATTGGTAATTCCCCCTGTCTCCAATTCTATCTTTGGTGAGGGTCCGCTCAAGTCTCACGATGGCGCTGGAACCTCCTAAAAAAGTTCCCCAACTTTCAATCAGCCCCGTGTCAGCCCCAAACACAGCAACACTAGACCAAATGACTGGGAAGTTTGCCCACGAACCCCTGCCAGCTGCCAAAGCTTCAGGCTATATGTACATTCCTTACCAGCCACACACCAGCTGCAGGTTGGCAGCTCTCCTTGAGAGCCAAAGTGCGCTCTGGTGCAGCTCGTTGGTCGCAGGCACTGATCAGTCAACTCCACTCGGCAAGCAGAAATCCACGTTTTTTTCTTCCAAGGAAAAAACCCTCTTAGGGCCGCTCTCCCTGATCACCCGGCGAGGGCCAAACAAGTGAATGACAGCTGGACCCCTGAAAGGGTCGTTGCCAAACTCGCTGAGGTCTCCCTATTGCGTCGTGCACGTCAAGCCGTGATGACTCGGCAATTCAATTCACACTGACAACTGGATTCTCTAAGACTTTGACACAATGACCGCAAACGTGTATGCCAAAACACAAAGGATCGGCTCTCTTGGAAAGTCTAACAGGATCGATATCTTGAGTTATAACTGATTCAGGATTTGATCTGAATCCATATCGGGTCCTGATCCTGTTCTTTCCCGCCGGAGTCGGCTTTCTATTCATGGCTCCTCTGCAATGCGGGTCTCAAACGTCCAGAACCGGATCCTGAGCGGACTGCTGGACAAAGGTGGTTCTTCAGATCATGGGGTCGTGGTAGGGTCACGTAGGTGACTGCGTGCGTGTAGTGCTACTCGCTCCCGTGACCAGGTGTGTGCCGATGTGTGCCGGCAAGGCTGCATAGGTGTCCTTTTTGGGAAAATAGATGGCCCTGGTAGTTGATTGAACCACCAGGTAAACCAGGAATCGCCCTCTTTGTCCAACCAAATCAGCCAAAAAGGACACCTATGTGACAGAAGTGTCCAAGTAGAGTTTGCTGGTAGGACCAGAAGCTGCTCGACCAGGTTGGACATGTTGTTGCTGCGCCCTGTATGATTTCGTGCTGGTGATAGATTCTTGGTTTGGTTGGATTCTCACTGACACTGCCCTGCTTGGCAATGCTGGCTTGAGTTTTGAATGCAGCAGTCTACTCGCCTCAAGTTTATGGCTGCTGTGGCCGAAAGCATCGCAAAATGTTCTTCCAGCAAAAGCACTGGCCCCCTTTCGGCAGAGTCACTTACAGAAAGTGACTTGCACAAAGCGACTTGTGCACAGCGACGTGCACAAAGCAAACAACTCGCACGATGGCAAAGTGACTTGCGCAGTGACTTGCTCCTTGAAACACCTTGAAACACCCCAGTGACAGGTTGATGCACTTCAACGTGATGATGATGATGACTTGCGCCTTGAGTAGAATCACTTGCGCAAAGCAACCCGAGCAGAGCGGCTTGCGCAAAGCCCTTTGCACAGTGGGACTTGCTCAGAGTAGCTTGCACAAAGTGAGTTGTGGAGTGACTTGCGCAAAGTGACCTGCGCTGTGTGACTTGTACGGAGTGACTTGCGACCTGCATAATAATTGAGGAGTTAATTGCATAGAGGGCTTGGCGCAGAGTGACTCGTGCAAAGTGATTTGCCCAGAGAAGCTTGCGTAGAGCAACTAGCCCAGATTGATTTGCGCAGGGTGGCTCGAGGAGAGCAGAAGCTTGCGCAAAGTATGTTGGGAAGAGCAACTTGCGCAACGGACTGGCTGACTTGCGGACGGCAGCAGCTTGCACAGAGTAATTGTTTTGCGACGCGTGCCTTGCAGAACGTGACTTGTGTAAAGTGACTTGCGCAGAGTGACCTGCGTGAGCTATCGTGCGCTGCTTGCAGAGCGGCTTGCGAAAAGAAACTTGCCCAGATTGACTCGAGCAGGGTAACCTGTGCTGAGTGACTAGCACGGCGTGACTTGCATAGAGTGACTTGCGCCGAGTGACTCGCGCAAAGTTGACTATCAGAGAGTGACTTGCGTAGCGTGACTTGCGGAGCGATTTGCGCGGAGGAACTTGTGCAGAGTATCTTACGTATAATGAAACGCACAAGAGTGACTTGCGCAAAGCGACTTATTCGCAGAGTAATTTGCGCAGAAAGACTGGCGCAGATTGACTTGCGCTGGGGGATGCGGAGAGTAGCTTGTGCCGAGTACCTTGGGAAGAGCAACTTGCGCAGAGCGATTTGTGAGGCGTAACTCCGCAGATTGACTTGCGCAGAGTGAACTGCGCGGCGTGACTTGCGCGGGCTAGTTTGCCGAGAGTGACTTGCACGAGGCTTGCGTAGAGTGACTCCAATCAGGGAACGCCGATTGGCTCAGAAACCATGCAGAACGAAGAAGCGCAAACCACCCCGAGTTGGAAAGGCGTCCGCCACTCATTGCGCAACTTTCGTAGATCCAAGTTGCGATGTTCGAGATCCGCGGACGAGTGCTTCGCGGACTTCCTTTCTACTCATAAGGTGCTTTCGACCAGCCCTGCGGAAGAGGACTTCGCGTACCTACGCGACGCTGATCTAACTTGATTGGCAGGGTTTTGGTGGGCCACCAGCCACCATGCACGGGCCCATAAGGCTTGAAATGTTCAGGGTTTGCGCGATCTAGCGTGCAACAGACTCCCTGTAGTGAGAATATACCTCATAGCGTCTCCGCTGCTCAGGAATGAACATATTTCCGTGCAGTGAGGGATTCCCTTTCAAGCCGACAAGGACTCAGATCTAGGACACCCACATGTGATAGACTAACATCAACAGCAAAATTACTGTTCTGACCAGGGAGTCATGCATGCCCTACAAGCAGATCATCCTCCTGGGGATTGTTGATTACTTCGCAGTTATCCAGATCCTACCAATTTGAGGATGAGGCATGCCCTATGAGTGAAACCCTCCTGTAGGGGGAACTGATTCGTGTGGTCCGGATTTATCTCAAGCACTGGCAACGCTTGACCCGCCGTTCAGAATGTTGCCAGGATTAATCCTACCTGCTGCCCATTGGGTTCAATCTGGGCGCAAGGACCTCTCCCTGCCTCCTCCATGGCTTCTTCCTCGCCCTGCTCAACCTCCGAGGTCGAGGAATCTCCTGAGAAAGGCGCCCCATGGAACCCGCACTGAAGCCAAACAATCGTGGAATCTGAAACCATAGAAATCTCTGAAGGGTGGAAATGTGGATTGGTTGACCTTGGTCCCAACAAAAACACATTGAAGTTCATAAGCTGCGAAGCGAGGACATCGTTTCAATTGCACCTGTACTTGCATTCGGGAGACTCCAGGAAGCCTTCAAATTAACCCTGGGTATATGCTGAGCGTGAATTCTGCGACCTGCATTTCTATGCGCCTTGGTCGGGCCCCTCCATAACTTCAGGTGCCAGCAAACTTACGCGTCTTCTCAAACATTTGCGGGTTCATAGGGGGAAGAGCGTCTTCTCCACACCATGACACAGTTTCAAGCGACGATGTTCAACTCATCTTGCTGCTTCTCGCAAGGAATGAGGGAATGACCCTTATAAACCGTCCAACTGGTGGTTTATTTTAAGGGAATCCCTGAGTTCATTCCCACATTCCCTACCTATCGCACCAGCAAGTCATTCACGAACACAAAAGGAAGCACTGTGAAGCAGGTGGACTGGCAAAGCTCTATATCGGTTGTAGGTCCTCCAAAAATTAACAACAACAGGATCACAATGGGCTATATACCAACAAGAGCGGACACAATGGCATGTCCTCCCACAAACCAGCAATAAGCTACATATGCCACTGGTCAGCCTGGGTCAAGTGGAGAGCAAGGAACGCTGTTCCAATCTTAAACTACAAGCGACGCATTTGCTGGCTGAATCACTCAAAAACGGTCGCAATTTGAGTGCAATCCTTCACCTGCTGGTAGGTGGGCAGCGCATGAAGGATTGCACACACAAACGTATTGCGCAAAACGTTCAGGAAGCTAGGGTCTCCGAAATTGTCACAAGGGCAGCAAGATGGCTCCTAAAAAGGGACACCAAGGGAACCGCGACATGTGCTCGAGCAGTCGAATCTGGGAGCCTGCGGAAATGCCGAAGACTTGTGCCAAGTTGGAAAGAACAGTAGAACGCAAGGGACAGCCTGATGTAGGAGTGCCTGTTTCTGACAATAGGAGCGTCTCAAATGGTCAGTTTTTGTTGGTTGCCCTTGAAACATCAGCCAAATGCGTTCAGCGCTTTGAGACCTCCCCGAGTGATCTTGTGACATGAACCCTTTCCCTATGTCCGGATGTTGGTGTAGCATGTCGTCAAAACCCTAAGTTTGATCCCCTTGTGCTCCGTTGGGGATCCTCAAGACAGACACACCCACCTCGGCCTGCAGCTTCATGCGTTGGAGTTTCCGGTCCTCGCGCGAGCCCCAAACAAGCCTACACCTGCTTTTCCAGGAGACATCGGCAAATTGGGTGGGAAATTTGGGTGGGCCTCGCATCCTCCGCTAACAATATAATAGACCACCAGTAACTTTGTCAGTTGCCCACGCGGTGCAAGAGAGTGTCCCCAGGTGTTTAGCTCTCTTTCAGTCTCTTTCATACACCTTTCCCAGTCCGCAGTCTGCTCTGAAAACGAGATTCGGTCGCAACTCCCGTTCGAGATTCGGGTGGCATGCTCGGTAGGCGATGCATAATTTCAGCAGGACAGGGGGAATCGCTCTTTTCTGCGCCGGGGGGACTCACTCGTTCATGCACCCCCATGAACATGAGTGCGGGTCAACAGGTACCCAAGATGAAGCCCTTGTAAATGGACACAAGGACTAAAGACCGCAGTTTTTTGGTGGCTTAATGTTGACCCGTACCCACATAAACCCTGAGCATCCAAAGTTTCACAAGGACTCCTAGAAATCTGCCCTCGCAATTTCAAGTCACCCGGTGCCATTGCCGTCGGCTTGACCCAGAAATGCAGAGAGGGGGACTGGACACTGGGAAACAAAAATGGCCCGATGCCAATTCCTCCCACCACATGCATTTCAAACCAAAAAGGCCTCTCTGAACTTGGTCTTTTCGATTGGGTTTTCACTGTGATCTTCTCTCTTTTTAGGGCAACTCAGGCCTTACCCTCAACCAACGACCATGGAAGCGGACAGAGGGGTTCCCCAAAAGGAAAGTACAGTAGTCGTCCAAATCCCTCCTGTCAGCTTTCCATGATTGTTGGGGGGGCCGGATTCAACCGAACTCCGCGCAACTCCGCAACCAGCCCCAGCCCGACTGAGCCCCCAAACAGCCACCCTGCCCTGAAGCAACCTCAAGAATCCTCAACATCTCCCATCAACTGGGTCGGACTGGAGCTCCTGATTTATGCCCTTGCTACTTCATGTATTTCTTTGGTTGTTCATGTAGTTGTTTCACAATTCATGTGTATGTGTATATATATATATATACACACATACAACTATGTATGCAAAAAGAAAGCTTTGGCACTTGATGTCTGTCTGGCATTTCACCAGGGATCCCATCAGTAGAAACATTGAGAAAGACGCCTTTCCGCGGCGTGGCATTTGTCCAGGACCCCAAAAGCTTGACAATTTTCTGGCTACAGAAAATCTGCCAACAGCGCGTGAACAGGTTGCCTACCCGTCCCTTGGACGCACAGCTGTCTTTGTGTGTGAGGGGTGCCTAATGGGGAAGCTGATAATTGGAGGGTTTTGGACCTTCATTTTGGAGACGCCCTCTGTCGTCCCCGGGGTCAAAGGCTACGTATTGGGAAACTTTTGGGGAAGCACCTCCTGTGAACATGCCTTTCCTTTGACCTGGCGGCTCGAGCCCCGAGTCAAGAGGCTGCCCGCCCCTCCTTCCATAGACTGCGGGAAGATTCCTGGGATTCGGCCAGGGCTCAGTTAGGAACAGACCTGCCCCTTTTGGTCCTCAAAATCGCCCGAAGTCTGGCTGGTTTACCAGGAATCACACCCCCAAGAGTAGCTTTGAGACCCCCCAAACCTCCATTGAGGATTGATTGCCGCCCCTTGGGTTGATTGACCCTCGCCTTCACGCTGGACAAAATCCTCAGATAAGTTCTCAGGCCGTCAAGGCCTGTTTGGTGATAGCCTCTTAGAGAAACATTTCTCCTGCAAATGGGCTTGTCTTCTTTTGGGGAGAGAGCCCCCAAATGGTGGCGTGTTTTCCCCCTTACACCAAAAGAGGAGCTACCACGCCCAAATCAATGTGAAACCCAAGTCGAGGAAAAACCAAGTTGATTTGCAGGGTTCCAAAAGTAGGACATGTGTCCTGAATCTGTTGAGCATGGGCTTTCCTTGCCTACCCTCACATTGCAGAACATGAGGAGGGTCTGCAACCAAGAAGAAGCAAAAATGAGGGGGCGCAACCACAAATACACTCTTTTTTTTACAACCCCCCTGATGGCTCCTAATTGCCAAGTAAAGTAAAGGGGATTATGGGCGGAACCCCTAAAATGGGCAGTTTGCTGTTGGTGTCCCTTTGCACCAACCCCCAAAATGGCACCCTCGAAAAAGGCACGCGCTTGTAGTTTTATCTCCGAGGTTCGTAGGCGGAGCCGTGCGTCCGAGGGCGGCAGCGCATGCTCCACCAGCCTCTCGCTCACGCGACCAATGACCCGCAGGTCCAAAAGGCAATCACGCTTTCAACTCTATGGCTGGGGGGGGTTAGTTTCTTGCCGTTGGCAAAGCATAGTTCCACTCATGACACCCTTGCCATTACACCTCAAAGCTCGGTTTTCCGTACCAGCCTCGATCCGCGTAGGCAAACGCAGTTGCTCGTTCTTCCTATATTGCCACTGCCAAGAAGTGCATCCCATGCATCAAATGCGCATTGGCCATGCGAAAACTGTCGCGGGATGGGCCGCCGTGACGCAGTCGTAAGGCCACCAAAACATGGGGACTGGGCCCATATAGAAGTTGACTACTCTTCTTTGGTTGGCTCAAAGGGAAACCAAAAGGCACCCTTTTTCGGATGCTCATTTTTTGAGGCAAACCCATACCCCCAGTATGGTTGCGGTACGTCGGGGCTCATACCTTGCCCTGAGTTGAATCAAACGGCCGATCACAGACAAGTGTCACTATGAACCGCGAGTTCGCCACACGCCATGAGAGATGCTTAAACAGAGTGCGTCTCAAAATAGGGGACCTACAAAATTGGTTGGGTTCCTTCTGGTTTCCCTTACACCAACCCCAAAATGAGCACCCTCCAAAAAAAGGACACACCCATCTTTTTCTGCAAGGTTCGTGGAAGCGACTTGTGACTTGCATCGTGACTCGAACAGCCCAAAGCTTAGCAGAGGTTCTCCCAAATACATGTTCAACCAGCACAAGTGGGTCTGTCCAAATTGTTTTCGAGGGCGCCCCCTTTTTTCTGTGGTGTTAAGGGAGAACCAAAAGACCCCCCTTTTTTTCAGGGTCCCACGACAAGACACCCCCAAGTTATTGTTTCTGGGACTCTGATGAAACAAAACCGTCGAGCAAAGAAAAGCAGGTGTGCCAACTATTCGGGTATATCCTCAAACAAGGACCCATTGAACCGGCTGGCTTCCTTCTTCAGCACACCTTCGCGCTCTTCTAAAGTCCTGGTTGTGCTCGTCTCATTTTTGCGCACTGTTTTGGAGCTTTCCACCTGTGTTCTAACCCAGATATCGGACACCGACGGCTTGGCAAGATGCCGACTCTCGGTCGCCTTTTTTTGAACACCATCAAAACGAAGGGTCGATCTCGCCTTGGGAAACACTCATCTACACTACCATCATTCTACACCTTGCAGTGTCCCTCACGACCATCACCGTGGGGATTCGCTCGTTCCACCCTGTGGGCCCCCCCCCCCCCCGTATGGTGGACACTGATTCTGTTCGCTCAAGTGTTCCGTATGGTGGACACTTAGGGTCTATTTTGCAACCTCCTTCTTTTGGGGTATTGGCTGTTTAGGGTATGGTTGCAAAATGGACTCTAGGTGTGCATGGCACCCCCCCCCCCCCCGAATCGGTTGGCAGACCGATTCATCCGGCCTGTGGTTCTGCGCATCCAACACGTCCAGCTGAACGGAGCCCACAAGGTCCGCCTGCGGCGCGCGGCGCGGAGAGAGAAATCTGGCTGAGGGGTCGGGCGATACAGTCGGTCGCTTCATTTGCGGTATGTCTTTTTTAGGGGACCTAAAAACAAAATTCAAGGTCTTCCTTTCCTCCTTGTGGTTTTGCTTTAAGACCACAGACCAAAACGGCGCCCTCAAGAAACTCACCCATGTGGGGCTCACGTGGGGGTGGCTTCCGTTTGGCCGAGAGGAAACTCCAGTCTTCCATGGTAAGTCTTCCCACTGGCCCTCTACAACCGGGGAATAAAAGGTGATCACCTTTTGGGACCTGTACCAAAAATGGGTCCCAACATGGGAAAACCAACGGTTAAAGGGTTGGCTTTGGGCAAGTGAGCCTTTAGTCTCCCTTCGACCACCAACTGCAAGGGCATTCGAAAAAATGCGAGTTCCCGCAAGAGATCATGAGTTCCCTGCTGTTTGTGGCATTTGATTTGCTCCACGTCCCTCCCAAATGGACCGCAGACTACTTACTAGAAATTTGACTAGGTCCTCCAGTAGAGAGCTTAGAACAGGGGTGCCCTTTTTGCTGTAGTCTATTTACCCACCCCCAAAAAGGGGCAGAGAAGGGCACTACTGGGGGACCTAGTTGACACCACGCCTCGTTTCTTTCCGAGCCGGGCACGTCGTCGAAGCGCAGCACCACCACGACCAGCGACTCGGCGGAGCGTTCCGCTGGGAGAGGCAGCTGCTTCCTCGAAGAGAGTCGATGGGAAACACGCGGCTGGGGTATCTACAAAGCCACCCAAAACCCTGGGGAAACGCCTGGTTTTTGAAAAGAACGATGGTTGAAATGAATGGAAAAGGAATCAACCCCTAGGATGGATGGGTCAAAACCGTTTTGGGATCCCATTTTGGGGTAGGTGAATTCACCACCCATTTTGGAACCTATGCCAGTGGGGATGGCTTTCGGTTTTGTTTTGGTGTAGTTCTCTGGTCGCCTTTTCATCTTTGCAATTTCCGTTTGGATTCCTTGGCGCTGTTGCAAGACGACTTTCCTTTTGAAACGACAGTCTGAGCAATTTCTTTTGGTTTCATGCTTCGTCTTCTTCTGACACCATCCCAAAAGGCGCTTTCCACTCTTTGGGCAACTCCAGCTGTCCCCCTTTGTCTTGTGTCCACAACACTGGGATCGTTCCCGCATTTCCGAAACATTGCATGGGAAAGAAACGCCGGAGAGGCAAAACTGGGTGTGATCCTTCCAAGCAGAAGTACCCCAATTCAGACGTCAGCAAACCAATCAGCTTGCAAAAAAGTTCAAGCCCGGTCCAAAGGATCATGCCAAGACAAGAGTATCATGTGAAAGATGTGAAGACGTCATCATGAATAGCTTCGCTTTTGCGGGCGAGGCCAATCCTATGGACGTCAAAAACCTCAGGTCGCAATGGCTCTCCGAATGCCGCAGGTAGCAGTCCACAAATATTGGGCTTCGCAAGCCTTTCCGGGCGAAGCATCAAGCAGCAAAACTAGGGAAATTATGCGACTTCCCACAATCTATAGCCCACCTGTGTTGGGTGGATGGTAGGTGTAGGAGTCATGTCCTGCACCGGGTCTCCCAGATCATACATGTGGGTTATTGAACAGTACAAGTAATGCCGACATCCAAGAAAAGCAGAAGTCAATTGAACAAAGACTGACAACTCTTTGGGGGTGAAACACTGTGTTCTTACTGGAAGTGTTGCTGGCCATCAAACATGACCCTGCCAAAAGCAAACACTCCTCTGAGATTTGCCCAAAGGTACTCCTTTAATTGAAAGCAGCGCTCAGGGCGCTGACCTCTCTATGGAAAAGGACCCCTCCATACATGACTTCCCTTTCACCCGCATGGAGGAGCGTCCTTTATTCGAGGGCAACACCGCCCCTCTATTTGGCGGTGATGTTCCCTGGTGATTCGTCGATCCCTCAATTCAACTTCAACTGTTCTTGGGAGATGCATTAATCAAGTCCCTCTATCTCTGAAAGCAACGTCTAAGAGTGCGCATCGCCGAGCCTACCACCCAAACACACCAAAATCAACCAACCATGCCACGCCACACACCAAACTAGTGGTCTAAGTCTCGCCTGGAAACCGCTGAGGCGACTCCAAACAGATCACCCAACGATGCCACGCCCACACGTCGACATCGACTCCTCACCCGCAGGGCGCCCTCATCGCCTGGCATCAAATCTATGCAATCACCAAGCAGAAGAAACCCTGAAATGGGTGAAAAACATGGGGAATCCAACCATCTCAGTACCGGGTTGGATGGCCCAGTTCTTGTTTGAGAGGGCTTCGTGTAATCTGCGTCAGTAAGCCGTGCTTTTTGCGAGTTTGAGGGCCTCTCAGTGCGGAGATCTGCATATCCTGGGGTCTACCAACATGGGTTGGCGCACAGAACCTGAGAAGACTTCTGTTGTGGAACGGGTTTCACTTGCTTCCGTGGTGGGAGGGGCTTTGGGGCATGCCTACGACGGGACAATGATTGCTTCCATTGCAACACAAAATGACCACATGTTTGGCTACGCACACACACACACACACACATCACCTTGCCACATTCACCAGCTTGTCGCACATGTTTGGTGGATTGACCCAAGTCTAGACATTGGGAAGGTGACTTGTTCTTTGCTTTCGTCTCCTTTCGGCTAAGAAAACCCATTGGAAAACTTGGGAAGTTCAGGGAAACTCCCGAGAAGCCTAAATCCAAGAGGCGTAGGCGTCCTTTTTGGGAAATATATTTTCCCTGGTAGATGATTGAACCATCAGGTAAACCAGGGCCTTCTATTTTTCAAGCAAACCAACCAAAAAGAACACCTATGATCAAGCAGAGTCTCCATGACCCTTTAAACATGGGTCAATGACCCCGTTATTTTGGGTAATGACCCCATCTGGTCATGGAGACTCCAGGCAGATACGGACTCGCCATCCCCCCCCCCCCCCGATCTTGGCAACCGCCGGTCTGAAACGTGTCCGCCACCTGGGCCGGCCAGGTGGTCCAGTGACACCACCTTCTTCGGCAGGTGGCGCCAGTATGCCTTGACCTGGCGATGTTGCAAGTGACCCTCCCCCATATGCCATGGGTCCTCGCTTCATCGGGGAAAAAAAACACGGAAAGCCCATTGGGGGCGGCTCCTGGCCCCAGGGCGAATCGGCCGATTGTAGCTCACGCTTTGGGGAGGGGGGGGGGGGGGGGTGAGCATAGATTCGCCGGTCCCAGCTTTGAGTGCTTTGTGCCCACACCGCCAGTGGTGCATGTGGTTGCGCAAAAATGGAAAGGAAACTAGTTCTTGGGATGGGACCCTTTTGGCTTCTGTGAAAGGGAGTACCATGTTTCTTAGTTCTCTTTTGGGGGGGAGGGTCATGGGCGGGTCCGACCCATTTGCAGATCTGAGCAACCAGTTGAGGAGCTGCGCGACAGGTGAAGCAACAGGCGACGCCCTGTGACATAGTGGGACTTTCTGATTCAAAGCTTCCAAGGGCATTCTCTTGCTGAGGGTCAACATGGGTTGTCCTGGTACATGGGTTACCAAGGACCAACACCTGCTGTCCACATGCTGGTGGTTTTGACCATAGGTGGCCTTTTGGAAAAATAGATGGCCCTGGTAAATGGAATAAACCCCATCTAAACCAGTGGAACCCATCTATTTTCAACCAAAATCAGCTGAAAAGGACACCTATGGTTACCCATACCTTTGTCTCAAGCTCAGCTCCCACCTGGTAAGTCCGGTCGTGTGACAGAAGGCCACGAATGGACTCCAGCTGCAGCCAATACGTCACCTCGGATGCAAAAATCTCGCGAGGGGCGCGCAGAAAACTGGAAAAACCTGGGTGTTTTCGGTAAAGTGGACCAGAGGGTGTGTCTTCTTTAGGCGGCCCACCCGAAATGGCCTCGGTTTTTCTCAGTAAAGTCGACGTTGCGAACTGAGTGGGTTTTTTTTGCTGGTGGCCCATCCAACAAGGCTGCGGTTTTCCTGTTGATTCCGTTTTAAAACCAACCACACGCATGGGGTACCCTCAAAAAAAGACACACCCAAACAGGGGTTTGGGTTTCCACTTCTCAGCTTCTTGGCATCGTAATCTCCTTTTCGGGATTCCCAATTTTCGTGCAAACAGGGACCCTCCATGTAACTTCAAACAGCAACGGGACTGACCATCTGACCAAAAGAGTGGAATCTACAACGCTGCCCCGATTGAGGACATCAACCAAAATGGAAAGGGAAGATCTGCTCAAATGAATACAAGGCCAAGATACCGGCTTCGGGCTTCCGGGGAGCTGCTTGCCGAGTGAATCTGTATCCTTCCTTCTCAGAGACGGCATGGTGTCCCCATGTTGACTGCTCTGGGCGCTTGGCTGCAAAGCTACCGCTGCGGGCTGGCTCGTCGGTCTCAGAGCTTCAGTGTTGGCATTGCTTTGCCTTCCCGTCTCTTGCCGTCGGGCGCTTTGGCCGCTGGGGTTGCTTTGCTGCGAAGCTACAGCTGTCGGCTGACTCGTCGGTCTTGGAGCATCAGTGTTCGCATTGCTTTGCTTTCTAGACTCTTGCCCTTGGCTGCTTTGGCCGCTGGGGATACTTTGCTGCAAAGCTACCGCTGCCGGCTGACTCATCGGTCTCGGAGCATCAGTGTTGGCATTGCTTTGCTTTCTAGACTCTTGCCCTTGGCTGCTTTGGCCGCTGGGGTTGGTTTGCTGCAAAGCTACCGCTGCCGGCTGACTCATGGGTCTCGGAGCATCAGAGTTCGCATTGCTTTGCTTTCTAGACTCTTGCCCTTGGCTGCTTTGGCCGCTGGGGTTGCTTTGCTGCAAAGCTACCGCTGCCGGCTGACTCGTCGGTCTCGGAGCATCAGTGTTGGCATTGCTTTGCTTTCTAGACTCTTGCCCTTGGCTGCTTTGGCTGCTTTGGGCGCTTGGCTGCAAAGCTACTGCTGCGGGCTGGCTCGTCGATCTCGGAGCTTCAGTGTTGGCATTGCTTTGTCTTCCCGTCGCTTGCCGTCGGGAGCTTTGGCCGCTGGGGTTGCTTTGCTGCAAAGCTACCGCTGCCGGCTGACTCGTCGGTCTTAGAGCATCAGTGTTCGCATTGCTTTGCTTTCTAGACTCTTGCCCTTGGCTGCTTTGGCCGCTGGGGTTGGTTTGCTGCAAAGCTACCGCTGCCGGCTGACTCGTCGGTCTCGGAGCATCAGTGTTGGCATTGCTTTGCTTTCTAGACTCTTGCCCTTGGCTGCTTTGGCTGCTGGAGTTGCTTTGCTGCAAAGCTACCTCTGCCGGCTGGCTCGTCGGTCTCAGAGCTTCAGTGTTGGCATTGCTTTGCCGTCTGGACTCTTGCCCTTGGCTGCTTTGGCCGCCGGGGTTGCTTTGCTGCAAAGATTCTGCTGCCAGCTGGCTCGGTCTCAGAGCCTCTGCGTTGGCATCGCTCTGCCGTCTCATCTCTTGCCCTTGGCTGCTTTGGCCGCCGGGGTTGCTTTGCTGCAAAGATTCTGCTGCCAGCTGGCTCGGTCTCAGAGCCTCTGCGTTGGCATCGCTCTGCCGTCTCATCTCTTGCCCTTGGCTGCTTTGGCCGCCGGGGTTGCTTTGCTGCAAAGATTCTGCTGCCAGCTGGCTCGGTCTCAGAGCCTCTGCGTTGGCATCGCTCTGCCGTCTCATCTCTTGCCCTTGGCTGCTTTGGCCGCCGGGGTTGCTTTGCTGCAAAGATTCTGCTGCCAGCTGGCTCGGTCTCAGAGCCTCTGCGTTGGCATCGCTCTGCCGTCTCATCTCTTGCCCTTGGCTGCTTTGGCCGCCGGGGTTGCTTTGCTGCAAAGATTCTGCTGCCAGCTGGCTCGGTCTCAGAGCCTCTGCGTCGGCCTCTCTTGCCTGCTGGTCACTGCCCGTTGGCCGCTTTCGCTGGCTTTGCTTTGCCGAGGTTCCGCTGACGGCTTGCTTCTCACTTCTTCAGGCTGACTCACCAGAGTGTCACTTGGGGACAACAGGAACGGCTGAGATCGTGAAGCAAAGCCACCTGCCGTTTGGCGCGTCTCCAAAACTCCCACGCGACATGGGGTTTCCCGGAGCGATTGTTGCCAACCCCTTGACATGTCTGCGGCATCATCCCGATCGAACAAGTCAACGCTCGGCGCGGGTCAAGCAGACAAAGGGTGAACTAACACATAATCATCATGACCACATGTGGCAAGAAAAAGTACCCGGCCCAGCTCCATTCTATTTACTTGGACCACTCGTAGACTAAATTTAAGCATCGGAACATGCGCACTGCTTGTTGCGACACTAAACCGCCACTAGTAGTTCACTTTTTGGGCAGAGGGCAGTGTCCTTGGTCCCAGCAACTGACAAGGCTGAACTTAAGGAGGCAAGGGTACGGAAGGCCAAGTTCCTCAGTTGCCCAAAGGACCAGAAACAAAAGGGTAACCTTTTGGGGCCGTGACAAAAAATGCACCAAAAGGTCAGAAGGTCGGCTGGCAAGTGAGTCCGGAACTGAACGACTCAATTATCTGCACTTACTGTAATCAATTTTGGGGCCCTTCACCACTGGTGAGCTCATCTTCCCCCCCCCCAATCGGTG